GGGTTGGGGGCGTCTTTTCTGGGTTTTATTTTGGACATTATTCTTCGAATGACTATTTGCCTATATCAATAGATGGTGTTTGTGCGAGAACAATTGTTACGTTATTTTGAGATAGTGGGCGGTCAAATGCTCATGAGCATATATAATTCCTATATTGGAACGAAATATGACAATTCATCAACTACCATCCAGAGTCAACTGACCTCTCAAATCGAGCAGCTCCGGTCCCAAAAAAAAAATTAATTGACCTTTCTTGTGAAGCAGGAAAGGCCTGTGAGCATCATAGAGGAGTTGCGGCTAGCTCATATTTAATATCTCTTCATAGGGTTCAGTTCAGCTGTAGCTTGACGTGTTGCGCGATGGTGAAAACTCGCCTCTGTTACTGAACCATTGATAGCATACGGAATCCATAAGTACATTGCAATGGTCTGATTAGTGTATGCACGTGTATGTAAGCATATAGAGCCTCAGTATCGGCTCATAAATTTACAAAACCGAGTATTTAATGTGCAGTATGCTAAAGTCGATCAAAGACCACTATGAATTGCGATTCCCAGGTGAATTTATATAGATATGGATACTTTTATTTCTTATTTTTACTCTTATTATCTGCTTAACACACGACATGAAGCTGTTGAGCACACACAGGCAATGAAAGTTCGAAAATTTACTACCTGACAGACGAAACCCTCTCTGGGACCTGGAATCCACACCCCCAAGATTTCAGATTCTTCTGACTCATCGGAAACCATATCCCGACAAGGCTATACTCGTGTTTTCCCCTTCCGAATGACGTATCTCCTACAGTAAACCTCTCGCCCGAGAGATCGATAAGATATCTCGGTAATGATCTCCGCCATCAGCAAATATTATTGGTGGAATAAGTTTTAGCGACGCCGACTCACGTCTTACAAGTCTAGAACTACACCGATATACTACAAACTCAATTCTCAAATCAGAGAATATATAGCGGACGGGCGCACTCACATTCCTTCCATGATAATATACCACAGTCTATCAATTGGTGAAGAATGGCCAGTAGCGGATCAAATATGTCTACCACCACGCAACCCCCAGCACTATCATCCATTCTCTCCGCGCAGGACTTCGAAAAAGCAGCCTCTCAATCCCTCACACCCAAAACATGGGCTTTCTACTCCTCCGCTGCGACAGATACAATTACACATGAATCGAACAGGACTATGTACGATCGCATACTTCTCCGCCCGCGAATCCTTCGTAATGTCACCTCTGTATCAATGAAGTCAAATATTCTGGGCTGCCGCATGGATCTACCATTGTTCATGAGTCCCGCGGCAATGGCGACGTTGGTTCACCCGGACGGTGAGCTTGCATTGGCGAGAGGTTGTGCGAGGTATGGGATTGGGATGTGTGTATGTTATCCCTCCCTTATCACTATCATAGCAGCGGTGTCTAGGGAGTATAATTCTAACAAAGAGTGTGATTAAATGCAGGTCTCCACAAACGCAGCCTACCAACTCTCGGAAATAACATCCACCGTAGCCAAGCAAACGAAGAATAACAACATTCCATTCTTCTTCCAACTCTACGTCAACAAGGACAGAGAGGCATCGAAGCGTCTTCTCCGCATCGCAGAGCAGAACGGAGCGAAAGCGATCTTTGTGACTGTGGATGCGCCCGTCGCTGGGAAGCGGGAAGCGGATGAGCGGGTCCCGCTGGATCCTCACGATATCCGATTTAGAACGCCGTTACCGATGAGTGGGGCGTGCATTGGTGGCAATGATGAGAAGGGAGGCGGGTTGGGAAGATCGATGGGACAGTATATTGATGCTGGTTTCACGTGGGAGGATCTGGCGTGGTTGAAGAAGAATACGTTTCTGCCTATTGTGTTGAAGGGGGTGCAGACGGCAGAGGATGCTGTGTTGGCGATGGAGTATGGGGTGAATGGGATTGTGGTTAGTAATCATGGAGGTAGGAGCTTGGATACGTGAGTTCTTTGTCTTTTGTTGTCAGTTGAGGGGGTGTGGTGAATCGTACTGATTGTGATTGGCAGCTCTACCTCATCGATTGTTGTGTTGATGGAGATCCGGCGGAGTTGTCCGCAGGTGTTTGATCGGTTGGAGGTTTTTGTCGATGGGGGTATTCGGCGGGGAACAGATATAATCAAGGCTATTTGTCTGGGTGCGAAGGCCGTTGGTATGGCAAGGCATTTTCTGTACAGCTTGTGTTACGGACAGGAGGGGGTAGAGAGGTTGATTGAGAGTATGTTTTCCGTACCTGATAGTGATAATGTGGGAATACTGACGGTCGCAGTTATGAGAGATGAATTAGAGACGACCATGAAATTGTTGGGGATTACGGATCTATCACAGGCTCATCCGGGCCTGTTGAACACATTAGATGTGGATCATTTGATTCCAAAGCAATCTGCGTCGTTGAATGGCGAGCCAGCCAGGGCACGCTTGTAACCGCAGGATCTCCAGTTCGAGCTAGAAAGAAAGAGCTGGTAGTTAATGATGCATCTAGATTATTTCCTGTCTTTCAAACCAGTATGGCAACAGGTGATTGAAGCCAATGCCGAATGTCCCATCAGGATAACTAGCAATAGACGCATCGATGTCTGTCATCGGGTACTGTAGCAGTTGGCCCCAACCGTGTACTGGTACCTCGCTAGTGCTAGCCCAATGCAAGTCAGAAAGCATCTGCAACATGTTCATCAGACTCGTGCCCACGATATTACACGTATGCTCCTCGTTGAGATCGGCACCTTTTGTGAGCAGACACCGGGCTACGCGCATTCCAATGTGGACAATGCGCCCAGAATCAATAGGCAGCTTGAGTTGAAAAATGTCACCTGTAGCGCTGCCCGCCAGGCCCATATTTAACCCGACAATTCTCAGAAGAAAGGAAGCACAGAATCCCACCATCTGATGGATATTAATGGGAACATAGCGGAGATTCAATGAGAGATCACTGTCAGTTCCTATGACGGAAAGTACTCTTATGGCAGCGTCAATTGCAGCACACGCAGTACGGCAATGCTCGAATGTCCACGCTTCGAAATTCGTCGGACTATTATCATAAGGAAAGATCCCACGAAATGCCAGAGAGTAGAGCTGAAATTGGGCAAAGGCGTGAAACACATTCTTCAAATCCTGGGGGAAAGAAGAGTGCGGGTGATCGGTATGGAATGTTCCAGTCGGATACTGCTGCAGGCATCGCTTAACAACGTCTTCTAACGCCCGTATTGTCACCATATCATCTTTATTCAGGGGATGTCTGCAATCTGTGTAAAAGGTCGCATGAGCATTTGCCAGAGTATCGTAGTATAGAGCGAGAGCGATTAGCCTTTGGTCTTCGTCACTGGCAACCTCTGGACTGGGAATCCGCGTCATATCCCAGATCGGTTTGAATCCGACGTCCTTTGGAGGACAACCGCGCCCAGTGGTGAAGTATTGGCCGCATATATAGGCGAGACACCACAGCCGAACCTGTTCCATATCGGCTACCTCGCCCCGCATGTACCGATGGAAGGCTGCATCTAGGCTGAGCTCGCTTGAAATGCGGATGGCCTCGCCAGAGAGTTGCTCCCCCAGGTACTTGAAGTAGCATGCACCAATGCACAAAGCGCGAACATCGTCCAAGCTATTATGGTGAGGATTCATCAACCTCCGCATGAGGGAGAGAGATACAAAGACTTCGTGGCATTTCTCGTATATATCTGCTCGATCCGGAGAAAGTAGTGCAGCGACGGAAAGGATGGCTGCCGTTAGCATCGCTGATGACCTGCGGGCAGAGTCCAGTGTCTCATGTTGCATGAGAAGCCCATCCCATAGAAGCGGATTGACACATGTAGTAAACATGTTGAACAGGTCTTCTGCCTCTTCTAAGGAGACAACACCCTCTGAGATGAGATCACTTTCCGTAGGCGCTGTACTACCTCCGGAGCCTGATTCGATGTGGAGATTTCTCAGACGGATAACTGCATCAGACAGGGACACTGCGCCAGGCGTATTTTTCAAGAATGTGTTGATTTCTTCTCGCAGGTCAGCGACCTCATTGATAAGTTTGTCTTTGGATCTACATTTGTCAGTGAGAATTGTGGAATATAGGTGGCTGTGGCATACTCTTTCTCATCCTTAAGGCGTTGCACCATTGCAAAATACGCATCGCATTCATTGAGCCCATAACGCGAACATCTAGTACAGGCGGTCTCTCCTTCTTTGAGCGTGCAAGTCTTTCCACGGATCGCACAGCTTCCACCTGAAGGAATTAGCTATGGTATAGAAGGTGGAGATAACTTACATGCGGTGCGTGCGCCGCGAGGGCCAGCGACATCTGGCTGCGTTGTCTCCATTGCTGCGGCAAGTGTCAGTGTCACAACACTCGATGTTAAGTTATTTACCGGTATGTGATATACCCAGATCAGAAGATTAAAGGTTGTTTATGAGGAAGACCAAGGAATCAGGATTAGTTGGCTTTATATAGCCATGGTCATGAATCGATAAGATATAAATAATAGTTCTATTTGACTGGGGGATTCCGATGAGACGGGTGTTGCTTCCTAAAGCGCAAATTGAGATGCAATGTAGAATTTTCAATGAGAGTAGATATGGCGGAAACTGTAAATGCATATCTAACATTCTGTTAAACGATACTGGCCTATATACTCGGCGGATACCGCACATGGGTGCTGTTGTAAGCTGATATATTCTTACTGTCCGAGATAACGAATGTTTCCACTGACTTCTAGCATCTACAGAGTATCTCATGTGTGCAATAGACCCGAAATTGCCGAGTCCAATCGGAAAAGACAGCATGGTAGGTATCATATCTCACATCTCGGTATCTGCAGTTATCCCTCTGCCCCATATATGGGATTTGCCTGCTTTTGTTATTTCATGTACTTCAACACCAATGAATCACGCATGGCAGGACAAGCAATAAACTCGACAATAAACAATGTTGACGAACGTAGGGTGAACAGTGGAAGTTTCCACAGACCATACTGAAACGCACGAGGACATTTTCTCTCCAACATATCAGATTAGAAAGAGTGTTTTCAGCTGTGAGAATTGTGGAAATTACAATGCTTTGCAACTGCAGAGTTCAAAGAACCACCAGATACAAACTAAGATATCATCCCCAAGTCACCCAATCCGTTTGCAAACATCCAATAAGACAGTCAACTAATAGCTTAAACCAACACTCCCATCATCACAACCCCCAAACCCCAGCCCCATCCCCATCCCCCTACCTCAACCCTCCCCCCTCCACTCGAACTCCCACTCCCACTCCCCCCACGGCCAGCCGTCTGCGTCGCAGCAGCCAACTTCTCCGCTCCAGCCGTAACAGTAACAGGCATATACCAAATTTCACCTGACCCATACGACGTGCCGGAAGTAACCACAGACGAGGAGTTCTGTCCCCCACTCACGGTCCCATAGTACCCGATAGTGACAGAACACGACGCGGCCTGCGTCGAGGAGGTGATATTGCACGCGTTACTCTGGGAGGTTGTCACTGTAAGGCCGTTTGCGGAGCCGATGAAGGAGCCGTGCTCGACGTAGGTGGAGGGCGCTGCGGTGATGGTGTAGATGGATGGGATGGGGCACGCGCCGTTGCAGGTTACGGCGAGGATGGTTGTGGAGGATGAGGCGGAAATGATGCTCGCGTCGAAGGTGGCGAGGGTAGTTGAGGGAGTTGGGGTGGTGGTTTGGGAGGTTAGTGAGGTGGGGAGGATGTTGAAGATTTGGATTGTGGTGGCAGAGGTGGAGGAGGTTGAGGATGAGAGGGTGGTGGTCGTGGTGGAGGTTTGGGCTAGGGCGTAGCCTACTAGGGGGAGGATTAGGTGGAGGAACTTCATTTTCAGGATTGTGGAAATGATGTGGAAAGGATGGAGATGGATAGCTAAGTTTCCTGATAAGCTCTTTTGGAGAGGTCTTCGAATATTTATGTACATCACATGTGGGATAAGTGGAGCTCGATCATGAGATCTTTAGCAAACTAAGTACAGACCAGTCCACGTCATTTCAATAAGCTTATCTCACTCTTGGCCTAGTAAAGCTCCATTGGGAGGAATGTTGTAGCCTACGACACGAGCTGCAGAAGTATATGGTGATGCGGCATTTCAATCTGTCCTGTGTTGCAGATGAGGTCATCCCCACCGCCAATAGAGAGCCTTCAAACCCCATCTAATCTTCTAAAACATCATAATGACATGCCCCAAGAGCAATTCTAAAGAATGTATCTAAACCCAGCATTCCGTGCTTCCAAATTATCGACCTCTGCCCCTCCCCTATCCTGTTCCGCCGCATCCAGCGCCTTATTCATCCTCAGATGCACAACACGAATGACAAAAGCAATAATCGCAACAAGCAGGGCTATCCCTGCCGTAGCACTGCCACCGGCGATATATCTTGGCCCTGATGACGACGGCCACATATAGCTTCCATAAATGGACGCTGTGTTGCCAATCATATTTGCTGTTGCAATTGCAGCTGAGCGTTTTACCAGCGGGCGAGGGAAGGAGTTGGCCACCCAGGCAATGATAATTTGGTAGGCAGATACGGCGCCCATGGGCATTCTACATTATCATTGAGCTTGAATGCCAAAAAGGAGAGAAAAGGAATGGGGGATGCTTACAGGAACATGCCAAAAAACCTCGCACCAATGTTCGTCGTAGCAGTGCATATGATGCATCCCACAACACTAACAAGCATCAACAAGATAATATGTATTCCGCGATCATTTGTCTTTCCAGATGTCCATGTCACGAAAAGTGATACGAAGAAGGTAGCGATCCAGACAGGTGCAGTTATTAGCAAAGTCTTGATATTTCCATAGCCCAGGGTCTCGACGATGGTGGGGAAGAAGTATTGGAAATTCTGCGAGAGGAGCGACGTATGCTGGAGTAGGATGAAAATATAGATTCGCTTATCTGAGAACACTAGATAAAGCGCTTCTTTGATGTTGCTCGATGTGGCTTCGTCTGCTTCTCCAGCGTCGTGGATAAGTCGCCATTGCGCGTATAGCTTCTCCGTTTCGTCGAGCCATGAGGTGGTGGCAGGGTAGTTCGACAGGAGTAGTCTATACAGTCAGAAATCACCATAACTATCAGATCGACATTGGAAAGCTCACGTTGACGTCAGCGATATCCCAACAGTAATGCACCCTTCGATGATAAAGAGCCATCGCCACCCTGCTATTCCATGCGCACCGTCCAAGTTTCCCAGCACCCCAGCTCCAATCAGACCACCAAACGCATTTGCTAGAGAGCTTCCAGCATAAAACCACGCAATGCGATGACTCAGCTATATCGGTCAGTTCAACATGTTATAGGTCAGACTGGCTTAATACCTACCTCTTGTCTGGTGTACCAACTCGACCTGTACACATTAGCTCTGCACAAATGGGCTTATTGTTGCACAACTTACATCAGCATGATTGCACCCGGAAAGAATGGCGCTTCCACAAAGCCAAGGAAGAAACGAGCAAGGACCAATCCCGTGAATGATTGTGTTGCAGCCTGACAGGCCGAGATGACACCCCAAATAGCCATTGATGTCCCCAGGAATAATGACGGTCGCACGCGCGTAAGAAGGAGGTTCGACGGCAGTTGCATGAGGAGATACCCGACAAAGAGGATACTCGTGGCTAGATTGTAGTCTGTTCCTTTCATCCCGAGGTCTTGTTCGAGAGACCCTAGTCGGGCCTGTGAAAGATTACTGAGGTAGGTATTAGTCTAGGTTGGACTTGTCCAGTGCTGGGCAGAACGTACTTTCTGTCGAGAAAGTTGAGCAAATACATCACCACCAAGAACGGAAGAAGATGAATGTCCACCTTTCGCAGGAGCTGCTTGGTCATCTTCCGATGCCATTCGGGACTCTTGGCAACGTATGTCTGGTAGATGGCACCTTGGGTCGATTCATGGATCTTCGCTGTATCCTCGTGATATTCAGTATACTCTTCTGTTGGTTTAGACATGGCGAGAGATCCCTATGCAGTGGGAAAGAGGCAGGGTGCAAAGATTGAAGTGAAAACAGAGCAGGGCTTAAGTATCGGAGGATGTCCGTCACCCCGCATTTGCGGGGGCGGGGAGAACTCGGGGTAGCTCACCCCGGATCTGCATAGACCAACCTAAAAAGAGTTCAAGGCATGGCTCTGAACCATACGAGAAGATGTTGGGTTGATACTCCATGCAGGAGTCCAGCTGAGCTTCAGGGAAGAGCTCGGCGGGCTCATAATCACCAATCCTGGCGGTCAACTCCAAGTCTTTAGGTGCAGTTAAGGCGCACTGAAAAATCGAATTGAGAACAAATAAGATTTTGCTATATACCAAGCCCCTATCAAGCAATTGATCGTCATGAGCGAAAAACTTGTTGTACACCACAGGCAAATCCAAGTGAAAACATCAATGAACCCTAGCCTTGAGCTTGCACTTAAGTGGTGGTTTCGCCCACAGGTTGTATGACTTCTGATTATGCCACTCCCGACTCTCCTCACACAATTCGATGTCAAAGTTCCATAGTACTCTGGCGAAAATCACACGCATTTCTGCATAAGCCAAGTTCCGACCTATACAATTCCGGGGACCGATTGAGAATGGCTGCAAAATTTCCCGATTATCATGATAGAACGGCGACGAAGGATCATTCTTCGATTCAGGCAACCAACGTTCGGGAATGAATTCTTCGGGTTTATAGAAATTAAGTGGCGACCAGTATGCAGCAGACTGATGAACAGATACTCTGGTCTGAAAGGTATTAGCATTGGATATTCCACCATTCTGAGTGGGACTTGCCTTTTTGGGGAGGAGATATCCCGAAATCTCAGTAGGCTGGTCTGGTATGTATCGCTGCAAGTGGCCGGCAACAGGTGGGTACATGCGAAACGCCTCATCGATACATGCCAACATGTACGGAAGCTTAGCTGTAGCATTGTTGACGGTGATATCTTCCTCAGTCTTCATGACAGATCGCACTTCGAACTTGACTTTCTCCATTTCCTTAGGGTGTTGTAGCAACCAGTACGTCAGCCCCGACAGAAGTGTTGCTGTGGTCTCACTGCCAGCAATGACAAGGATGCTTGCATTGGCTGCGAGTTCCTCATCAGTCAGCCCGTCCTTGCCGCCGCGGTGACGAAGCATGGACTGCATGAAGTCCGCTTGGCCACGGTCTGTCTGGTCGTGCAACCGTGTCTGTACTGTATTCCAGCTATATTCATCCTGTCTTCTTTTCGCCTCCAGGAGGTGTTTTGGTAGGAACCGCTTCAGGGCGTTGAACACCATCGGATAATCATCTTTGAACTTAGCGAATGCTATGGCCTTGATGAACTCAAAGATAGTCGATACCCAGTAGTGGTACTCTGTTGAGTCCAGTCCACCGAATGATTGTCCAAACGCGAGGTCTCCAATCAGGTCGAATGTTGTAAGGTTGTACCACTTCGCCATATCCACGGCTACTTCTGACTCTGCCATGCTGTGCAGCTTATTGATCAGCTTGTCGACGTACTCCATGATGAACGGTTCTTGGGCTTGGAGGCCCTTAGCAGAGAAAGCATGGGATATCGCCTTGCGAAATCGAGTATGATCGGAGTCATTTGCACTGATAATGTCTTTAGGATTGCTCGCTGACCCTGATACCTTGGGCAACTGCCGATGTCCGTGGCCGTAAATGTCTTTCCATGCCTGGGTGGTGATGAAGGAAACCTCATTCGGGGTGAAGCGGACGGCCCCACCGTACGTCTTGTGGAGTGCTCGCATGTCCCTATCTAGTACTCCTCTCATGTTTGAGATGTAGCGCAAGATGGGAAAAGCCAGCCATAGCTTTGGTCCGGGGATTCGACGGAGCGGGTGTAAGTAGATGTTCCAGATGGCAGCACAAATGATGTACGCGAGGTACGATATCCCAACAAGGGCCAGAACAGTAGGCATGATGTCTTAAATGAAGCCTTTGATTTGGTTGTCATGCATGCTGGAGGGCTGGGGTGAGGGGCGATTATAAGTCTTCGGGTCGGTCGCACCTGAGCTACAATCGCGAACATACAGGCGTCACGACGCCGTGTCAAGCAGGAGGTATGGGCAACAGCATGGAGATAGAAGCGGGGTAAGTGTCGGACATATGTTGCCACTTAATCTAGGCGATGGGGCAGACGATGCTAGTTGATAGTGCCGCGATGATGCGGCATATGCGCCTGGCTCCTCCTGTTAGCCCCAGCATTCATAATTTCTTCTGTTGTTTCAAACTTGTCCACCTTCTAGTCCTCTGGTTGACTAAAGGACTCCATTGTTCTCCTCACTTTCCGTTAAACCCAGAAGCAATATTGAGAAGGCTGTGAAGAGGCTGTTAAGAATAAAACGGCAGACTTGCAGCTGATGGCAGCGATTGGACGTTGAGCTGCAGATAGAGTGGAGAGGCGATCTGCACGCTGTGTTACGGTCCGTCCGCGTCCCGCGTGTCAGCCCAATAGGAGACACCAGTTAATAATGTGAGACGGGCAATGATCATTCCAGACGAGGGCGATATGCAACTCGGTGGCCGGATGCCTCGATGCCCGCAACGGATACCGGAAGTTCGACTCTGGGCTACCTAGCAGAGCCCTAGAAATTTCAATCGAACGGGGCAGCCTAAATGCACACGGTTACACGAAACAAGGATAGACCCCCTAGGAGCTAACAGAATGATCGCCCTGACAAATTTAGGAGGAGCAATAAGCTCTATAATGGACAAATCGGTACTGGGTCATTTCTGAATGGCTGATTCGAGCGACACGACTCCTTGTTAGGGTGGAGACAGCTGTCAAGCTCGGACCCAGACACGCGCCTTCACCCGCTTCCTGGCACACCACATGTCCCTGAGCAGATGAGCAATAAGCAAGCACAAGATAGCATACCATGCACGTTGTAGCCATTGAGCTCAACAAGATAGAGAAGTAACTGGTATCGTGGGTCTATTGCTAGCCAGCCACCACGCGTTAGTTTCCGAGCTCTGGCCATATAGTGCAACATGACCCCGATCTGAGGAGTGACCCCGCCTTTTGTGAAATGATTTATGCTTCGCAAGCATTCATAAGTCGGTTATGAACAACGGTGGCGTGGATTACCTCCGATTCTGCATGCCACAGAAATATCTGCATCCACCGCATATTGCGCTAGGCACATGCAGTTGCCAACAAAGGAGATGAAATTATGTATCATAATGACGAGCTGGCAACACAGGCCCGTAAGGCGTGGTCATATAAATGTGTCTGTCAGTTGTTCTTACTTGATGTGGATCAGAATATAAACCCCAACTGACTCGTGTTGCATTCGGGCATATCGTGACGGCCTTTCGATTCATACAACATGGAATTAATAATCTCGCCCACTTCACTCTGTCAGGGTAAGGTTGATATGAGAGTTCAGTGCTTCCTCACATTGTGTGTGTGGTGGGGGGGGGGGTTGGTTTTCTGACCAGAGTAGGCCACGCAGTGCTGCCAAATTTAGAAAAGTTCGGATCGGTATCTTCAAGGCAGCATCCGCAACTGGTACAGGTGGCTTTGGGTAGTAGTTTATAGTTGTTAATTAGCTGCAGAACTTCCTTACTGCCAACCCTTAGTACCAGCGGAAAGCTCGCTTTCAGATTAAAGTCTTAGATCAGCGGCACTCACAACGTGGTGAATGCGATTCTCCCATTGTGCTCGAAATACGAGCCGCGTGTCCTAGGTCACAATCATATTTTCCACATCTGTAACGGAGAGGACGGCATAAACGCGGTACATTTTGGGCCTAGAACGCCCCGTGACACACGTCATCGGGTACAAGAATCTCCACAAGTGCGAAAAGGGTATGTAAAGATCGTCCTATTTGTACGTCGGTAGGTTCTTTTTGTAGATGTATATCAAGGCCCTCATTAGCAGGTTATTGAATTGTCGCAAAGAACTACCTAAGGGTCAATCATCGCAGCGAGGAGATCGAGTTTCAGCGCAAGATAAGCACAGAGTAGATGGATGGGAAAATAGAGAGTTGCCGATAAACAGCGGCAACAATCAGTAGAATGTGAATCTAGGACGTCGTCTATTGTTGAAGGTTCGCCGATGTCGTTTGTACTTATGCCATTGGAAATAGTGGGATTTGCTTTGGGTGTAAACCCAATTCGTCATCTTATGGTTGAACTGGCTCCTGGGGCCATCCAGTGAGCAACAGCAGTTAGTCAGCGTTATATATTCCCCGAACTTATTTTTCAGACCAAAGGATCTTCGATTTTTCCTTCTTTCAAGACCATCGGGGACCAGCAGCGCGACATCCCCAAGAGCCCGCACTAAAGGTGTGCCAAGATAGCCCGTTACCGATGTACATGCCTACTCAAGCTTGGAAAGTCCGAACAAGAATTAAAACTTGTCAAGACGCAGGGGCAAAGATATATGGATTTGATCTATCTAGATCTCAAGAAGATGGTTGGTGGTTGAGGTGGTTGGAAGAGGCGGTGGTCAGAGGCCACGCAGGAAGAAGAGACGAGGGATCAGCTGACAGCTGCCTGGCTGCAGTGAATGTCTCAACAAAACTTCTCCAAGTTCTAAGTTCTTATCTATCCCGCCAATTGTGCACTTTTGACTGTGTTTTGGCCTTCGATGTCTCGCAAATATGCGCACCGGTCAGCAGATATATATCAATGAATCGTACTTCTCGCTTTTCCCTAAAGAGTATGATTGCCATCGTGTCAGGTTTCTGTTTCATATATGAAGACTGAATACTTTCTAAAGATTAGATAGATATTTATGTAAGAAGGACAACTAAAGTATGAATATCATAACTAACCACAAGGATAGTGGTTAGAATAAATAACTTATGTAGTACTGTAACCGCCCGAAGTAGCCAGCCTATAATATCAGGATAGCAGGAGCCAAGACCATTTTGGCCCCTAATGGTTGGATAGACATATAATCATTATTTTGTAAATCTGCTGCTGGACATTCAAGCAGAATTTAAGTTATTTAGTTTAATATAAGGAAATAAATCTAAATAATATGCCGGCCATTCACTTGATATCAGCGTGCCTCCATACCTATCAATAAGAAGCTTGACTGTTGTGAAAGAGCATTGTAGGTTGGGAGGAGATTGTAGTCTGAGCAGAGCAATTACTTAGCCCTACTGTGTAAGCTATTTCAACATGTGCGAACAAGATTTCCGCGGAATAAGCCAGTCATTTTGCTTGTCTGTGCGTGCGCACACACTGGATTATGAAAGATTAATCATCTCCCAGCACTAAGTAGTTACTCTTCAGCTTTAGCTGCTAGAAGTATATTATGTGGTGGATTAATCAATCTGTAATGCTTTTCTTTTAGCATCAGGTAGGGTAGGACCTGAAGAACTTCTAATTACCTTATTACTTCCTGTTTCCATAAATTCATCTGGCTTGTCATGTCCTACCTGGCAGTAGGAAAATCAAGTACAAGCTAGTAAATCTACTGCAGGTATTATCTGAAGGAACTCTCTTTATCATAGCATGAATAGATGCGGCCCAAAACTACAAACTAAGAGAAACAGCTTGGAAAAAAGATTTATGTCTGAACTTCTGTGTTATATAAAAACTAATCTCTGTTATACCTTGAGTTATGCAGACATATACTCTATTATATTTATAGAGCCTGCCTAGTATATGCACTTGCATGATAATTAAAGATGTGCTGAAAGGTCAAACGTGTCTGTAGGTCTTCTATAATAGGATAAACTGGATATTGTATCTAACGGCTCTAGTATTATAGGCCCCCAGTAGTTGGATTAGTGCTCACCAGACGGCTCTCTGCCAGGCATAGAATAGCTTGAGTTTAGCGCGGACGGGAACCCTGGTAATTAGTTATAGTATTATTAATGTCAACCATTTAGTTACAGGGAACAGTCAGTAAGCGGATACCGGTGTTTAGGCTGGGTCACAGTTGTTAACAAAACCCGCAGTTTGACATCAATCTTGAATCTGTTATTAATTCAGTACTTAGCTCCAGCTGTCTCCAATTGAGGTATAATAATTACTGTAGCTTGATTGGTTGGTATCCAGGGTCTTTACTTTATCCGCAGCTCCACCATTGAGACTAGGGATGCGGACAAAATACCAGAACAACAAGCCGAGCGGAGCCTGCATCTTGGGTTATCTCCGCTGAGTAATGCAAAGACAATCCACTCTTTCACCAACTGTAGGATCTATCACACAATATGCGGTCTATATAAATTCGTGGTGAGCCCTGGTCTTGCACTATAGAAAAATAGAAACTACGAGGAAGCCACGATACCTCAAGCGGTTTAACTGACGTGGACCGATATGGCCAGTATGTACAAACACTTAATGGAGCAGGTGGCAGAAGCACCCGCATCCAAAGGGCTCGGTATCATTTGTACAGCCGCCGTAGCCACACTAATCATTGTCGCATTCGTCAAATGCTTATATTATCGCAACTGGCATCCGTTGTCACGCTTTCGTGGTCCTCCCGAGGCTGCTTCATCGCGGCACTGGATCTACAGAGTGACCGACCGTGGCTTTCCCGAAGAGGACCTCGAAGAGCTTCATAAGAAGTATCGTGAGTTGCACCTAATCTTCGCTGCCTTTCATGATATTGCATGAACTTTGGGAGTTAGGTAGTGCTAATTCGGAATATTTCTAATCTCGGATAGAAACGCAAGCGCTACGCATTGGTCCCAACGAGCTACATATTACCGATGTTCACAAGTACAAGGTCATATATAGTCAAAGCAAGCCGTTCCCGAAGCATGCAGAGTTCTATGAAGCTTTCAACACACCTCATACAGTCTTTACCGAGATCGACGCAGGAATGCATAAAGAGCGCCGACGACTACTGAATCCCTTCTTCTCCCGAGCAGGTGTCTTCAAACTCGAACCCATCATCCATGAGAAGGCCGAGATTTTGATGAATAAGATCCGGCGACTTGAGAATAGTCACACTGTAAATGTGTATGATGCTTTCAGGTAAGTGTCATTATGTAGCTTCTCTGATCGGAATCCTACGAGGGCATACTTATCCCAGAGAACCGAGGACAGGGGCACGGCTGACATATTGGAATCGGAAGATGCCTTACAACTGAGGTTATCATGGAATTCGCCTTTGCGAAATCAGCAAACATGCTAGAAGAGAGCGAAACCACTTTTGGGTCTTGGTTCCTAGTCGCCTTTGACGCTGTTGCGCGAAGCATATGGAAGATGCAGGAGTGGCAAATCGCTCGGAAAGCCTTGGGGGTTGTCCCCATGAATGTCATTGGACTGGTGGATCCCAATATCGTCAATGTCCTCAAAATGTTAAATGTAGGTCCCGAGCTAGTATATTTTTGCCAGTTCACCATTATGTGCTAATGTCATGGTCTTGTTTACATAGTTTGCCGAAAGCTGTCTCCAACACTATGAGGTGCACGGAAATTCAACGACTCATCCTGTTGTATTCGAAAATCTATCTTCCCTGCCGCACGACTACAAGGTCTCCGAGGCAGTTGACATTCTGATTGCAGGAGCTGATACGACAGCATCAAGTCTGACTGCTGGCTTTATGCATATTCTCTCGAATCCAGCTATTTATTCCAAGTTAGTCGATGCTCTTCGAGAAGTGGACATTAGCGTGGATGATCCTTCAGCGGCTCGACTTCAGGAACTAGAAAAGATTCCTTACTTGGTACGTATAGACTCCCCGAACACACAAATGAATCTCCTCGCTAACCGTCCGTCAGACTGCCTGTGTGAAGGAGTCTCTTAGAGTGGCCATGCCGGTGCCTGGCCGCCTACCGAGAATCGTTCCTCAAGACCTCGCTGAGCCATTCGTTGTTGACGGACTGGTCATCCCGCCCGGTGTAAGTCTGGTACGAGATGATTAAATGCACATTATCTTACAGAATTTTTGCAGACTGTTGTTTCTATGTCAACATACACAATGCATACCAGCGAAGAGGTTTGGGGTCCCGACGCCCGCGCCTTCAATCCCGATCGTTGGCTTCAGCCGGGAGCGAAGTCCCTGGAGCAATATCTTTGTACATTCTCCAAGGGCGCTCGAATGTGCATTGGTCAAAAGTATGTTCTCCCGTTCGCTACCAACTAGTACCTTATGCGATATCACTAACGTCTGATGGGTAGTGTCGCATACGCCGAGGTCACAATTGTCATGGCATACTTATTCAGAAACTTTGAGATCCGGCTCCCGCCTGATTTCCGTCCGCCCGAAAGAAAGGATCTGTTTACCATGGAGTATTCGAAACCTGGTTTACCTTTGAAGTTCCGCAGTTTGAAAACAAGGTAATATAGAAGCGAGTGACATGGGTTATTTCCTCCTGTGGGGAGGATCATGTAATTGACTGTGACAGATATAGATAAGATAAGCCGCGTAGTAACAAACTCTTGTACATACATAACTAGTTATTCCTATACAACTCCCAATATTCCCACCCCAGCCTTAGTTAAGTTAATGATACATGGGGTATTCAAAAAGCGCTGTGAAGAAAATAATTTCTTGACTCCACCCGGACAACTCATTCTGAATAAATACCAGAATCCTCCTCCTCAATGCTGTTAGCAGCAGCATATTTATCCCAGGCAGCACAGTTCTTCTCGAGCGCGGAAGGATCAATCATAGGCTCGAGCTGGGACATGCTCTCCACGAATTGCATAGCGAAACCCTCCGATTGGTGCCAGCCAATATGGCAATGCAGCAACCACGCGCCAGGGTTATCAGTCTTGAATGCGATGACCAGATAACCGAGGGCGGGTAGCATAGCCGTGTCACGACGGGGTGGGTTGTAGGTGTTCAGAGTTGTGTTCGACGTGTAGCTTCCATCGCCCTGGGCGAGGATGAAGAAGTCGTGGCCCTGTGAGTGATCATATTAGCAATGGGTGTAAAGTTAACAATTTTGACTTGGGTCAACAAAACATACGTGAAGATGAATAGGATGAGGAACATTAATGGTCATTTCAATGTCGACAATCACCCACTTGCCGTTGCCTTCGACCTCCACAACATGGGATGTCTTGGTCCATGAAGTGTTGCCGTGAGCGATCTGGAGCAGAGTCGGGTTGTCCCATTCTGCCTTGAACGTAGTCGGGCCCATGTACCACTTGTACAAGCCTGCACTGTTCATTATTACGTTCGCCTCGTTGTGGCTTGTGAAGCCGACGCCAGACGCGTCGATAGCAACCACTGGCACCATGCTACTCAACGGCTCGTCGTAGCAGCTGTCAGTGTAGTTGTATGCCGTTGTTGTGGGAGTCGCCACAACAATATTCGGCTGCTCGTAATGGAAGATTCCTTTGATTTCGGTATTTTCAATCTCGGCACAGGCCTCCTGGGGAATGGCGCGCATCCAGAAGTCGGACCCGGCGTGGGCTTGGTTCGCGGTGACGATTACATCGTACCGTTGTCCTGTGGGTCTTGGTAAGTTCCTCTTCGATTGCTATGGAGATGGATGACTTACCGACACCGATGTTAAGAGACGTCGTGTTATAAGGCTCAATGGGGACGAAATCCGCAGCAATGACGGTCAAATTGTGATCATCGATCATGAATCGGAACAGGTTGCTCATTCCACCATTGACAAGTCGAAGGCGGTAAGACTGGCCAGCAGTCACATTCATGAGAAGCGCTCGCCAACAGTTTCGTTGTTCTCCTTAACCCAAATGTTCGTTCCGTTGATCAGAGCAGTGGTCATTTTGGGCTCGCCATCCGTTTCAGCAGTGGAATACATCTGGTCGGCCGTGCGGTGTGATCAGTCCACGAGCCAAAGAACGCCAGCGTCGACATCATAGTTCGAACTAGCAGGTCCGTTGATCACTATAGCACCGTATATTCCATCCCATGCTTGCAGAGCAAAGTGGGAGTGGTAGTAGGTTGTGCCGTACTGCGTGGCGCGCCATTCGTAAGTTATAGATCTTCCAGGGGGCGTGGGACATTGGGTAATGGAGTTTGTGACATCTTGAGGGTTGGTGTGATTCTGGCGCACATTGTGCCAATGTATGCTGGTTCCGTTGTTTTCCAGACCATTGTAGACATGAAATCGGACCCAGTCACCCCAATTGGCGTATATAGTAGGTCCTGGTGAGGTCCCGTTGATGGTCAGGACGTCGCGAGGGATGCCGTCTGGAGCGGCGGTGGTGTTTCCCAGCTCCAACCAATATTCACGAACTACTCCGGTGTCCGGAGCTTGGGTATAGTAGTCGGTGTGGATGTCAAAATCGCACCACTGATCACGGGTTTGCGGTGTGTTGCCCGCACATGCTTGCGTAGAAGGAGAGGAAAGCCCGGCATAGGCGGTGCTGGCTGCGAGCCAGCCCGCTGCCAGGATGGTATGCAAATGCATTGAATTGAATGACACAATATGAACGAGATGCAGATGACTGATCGGATAGGAAAAGAGCGAATGAGATGTGAATCGACAGAGTTCAACGGCTCATGACAGCAGATTAAAATAAAGGATCGTCCTGTCTACCCCCTATCTCATTCTAGACGAACGATGGAATATTCAGAACCTGTTCCATTCCCCGTTCCCGATAATTGTACCGGTGATCGGCACGCACGCTACCAACAGCATGCATGCGCCATTTTTACCGCCATAGGTAGTCCTCAGAGACTCCGGTAATTACGAAGATGTCTGAATCAAGGACGAAGTGGACCTAGACAGTGTTGAAATCAGCTAACCCCGAGACGAGATACTTCTGGGAAGGGTGTCAGGAGTGTAATACTGGGTTCGAGCGTCGAGTATACTTAGTCCGAAACGATGCCTGCAGAGTTGCGGAGTACCTTCGGTGGACCCGGCAGGATTACGTAGACGGGAGATGCGGATTGAGCCCTCGCATGTGAGTTAACTGATTCAGTATAGTATCTGGTTGATGCCGAATCAGATTCAAGATCGATCATCTCGGTCTTGATCTTATCAAGCAGACCCGCTCCGACGTCGATCACTTCCCTTCGTATGATAGGCTTAACCTGGAAAGGAGCCACTTTGCGAAAATGTGGCACGTCCCACTGGTCCCTGTCGGCATTAAGCGGGCATCAAAGCTGCCATCCGATATACGGACTTCATCAATGGGCCGAGCTTAATTTCGCTAAATCCAGACGATGATTCGTTCCCTTTTACGTAACCGAAGATGGGGTGACCTTGCGAGTCCCACTCTACAAATACTACGACCTCGGAGTTACTGGTATGAATGCCAAGACGTCCGGCTACGAGTTTAGATTATCACGTAGAAAGTCGTTCACCATCAGAACCCTCAATTCATTCGGGTCTGTGGGGACGGGAGTGGAGTTAACCTAGTATACAAGACCGTCGGGACTTTGCGACATCCGGGACGTATCATGACACGGGAAGTAGTGGATGGAATAATTGTCTTTTGTCACAGTCTAATATATAGTCTAGTATTTAGAGAGTATTGATGATGGGCTGACAAACCTACAGAAGTTGCAACGTTCAGTTTCAGTTTCTCCTGATTTTTTCAGTTTTCCCTTTTGAGTATTGTTCTTCAAGTGCGTGATGAGAACTCACCATCTCTGGGCGGCGGCCCTTGCCCTGACGGGAACGGTCCAAGCCACCACATTGCAAGATGTGTGTACAGTTTCCTTCGCTCGAAACTCATTGCCGGACGACAGCGTATATCCTGGTGTCTCAATTGACAGGTCTTCTGTGAGTGCAGTGGCAGCCTACAACGCGTCGAGCACAGACCAAGTCTATTGGCCGGGCGCCACGTTCGACTACTGCAATGTGACCTTTGCCTACTCCCACTTGGGCCGGGATGACCGGGTGGTGGTTAGCTACTGGATGCCCGCTCCGTTGAAGTTTGCCAACCGTTACCTGTCGATGGGTGGCAGTGGATATGACATCACATTGGGAAGCACTTCCTTGCCCGGGGGTGTCATGTACGGTGCTTTGGCGGGCACAACTGACGGTGGATTTGGTGGATTTGAGAATGGCTCGGACGATGTGTGGCTTCTAGCCAATGGCACCCTCAATTACGAAACGGTCTACATGTTCGGTTACCAGGCTATCCATGAGCTGACCGTCATCGGGAAGGAGCTTACCAAGAAGTTCTTCAATACCTCCTCCATCTATTCTTATTACCAAGGTTGCTCTGAGGGTGGCCGTGATGGCTTCAGTCAAATCCAACGGTTTGCAGAGGACTTCGACGGGGCCGTGACAGGTGCCCCTGGCTTCCGGTTCACTTTCCAACAAATGCAGCACCTTTGGTCACCCGTTGTCGAGCAAACATTGGACTACTATCCCCCTCCCTGTGAGCTCGAGAAGATTGTGAACGAGACAATCAAGGCTTGTGATGCCCTTGACGGCAAGGAGGATGGTGTTGTTTCGCGAACGGACCTCTGTAAGCTTCACTTCGACGCTAACAGCACGATCGGCGAACCGTACAGTTGTGGCGCTTCTTCTTTGACAACCTACAAGAGAAGAAAGCGATCGGAGACATATGCGCTCCCCGCCCAGAACGGCACTGTTTCTGCCCAAGGTGTGGAAGTCGCAAAAGAAATCATGCGGGGAATGCACGATACGAAGGGGAAGCAAGTCTACTTCTCCTACCAGCCAAGTGCGGCTTTCTCCGACGCGGAGACCCACTACGACTACGATACCGGCTCTTGGACCCTCGATATTACCGAATCAAACAGTGAATGGGTGGAGAAATACATTAATCTCCTCAATGCCACTGAGATGCCTACGCTCAAGAACGTCACTTATGACAACCTGAAGGAATGGATCCGAATCGGCTGGCAGAAATACGACGACACTCTTCAGGCAACTTACCCCGATCTGTCCCCCTACTCCGAATCGGGCGGTAAGGTGCTTCACTACCATGGTGAATCTGATTACACTGTTCCCACTGCATCGTCTGTGCATTACTATGAGTCTGTTCGTCGTATTATGTACCCTGACATGTCAACGAACGCAAGCTACGCCGCTTTGGGTGATTGGTATCGCCTTTTCCTTGTTCCCGGTGCGGCACACTGTGGCCCGGATGACTCCCAGCCCAATGGACCTTGGCCACAGAAGACGCTGGAGACTATGATCCGATGGGTTGAGGATGGAGTCTTCCCTGAGATGCTTAACGCAACGGTGCTGCAGGGTGAGCATAAAGGCGAAGAGCAGAAGCTCTGCGCATGGCCTCTTCGACCTCTGTGGAAAAACAATGGCACCACCATGGAGTGCGTGAATGATCCGGAGAGCATGAAGACTTGGGTCTATGACTGGAATGCTTTCAAGATGCCGGTGTATTAGAATGCTTATGAGGAAACCGGGCCTGGATGTCCTTTCTTCTCCTGCATTCTGATCCTTCTTTTTCTTTAATCCCGCACGTTGACCAGCTATTCAAAACTTCAGCTTGACTGAGCCTGTATACATTTTGATCATGTATTATTGGGGACTAGTATGCCTCCTTTTTGGTCGGATACTATTGTTACTGTGTCTTTATAGTTTCTCAACCTGCTCTGGCAAATATTCTCTTCTTGCCTGTATATCTAGTCAGATTCCTTCATTTGAATGTTTTCCTTTGTCCAATGTGAATTCATCCAGTAGCGTAAGTACTTAGTATGTCATCGAAAAACACAGTGTCTTCAAATCATCGTGAGTAGTAGCATTAAAGCGCGATACGCCAGTGAACCCCCGGGTTTCTTCGGTACGTTAGCTACATGCCTAAAGACCTATTTGTGGCACAATCTTTATCCGGGCTATAATCTCCAGCAGCAAATGACACCAAGATATACCATCCCGGGAAGTGTCGTAAACTCCAGGAGACTCGTTCAGCTCAGTAATACGAGACAGGCTTGTTTGTGGCTCAGCAGAGATACCCGCGACATCAGTAGCGATGGACCATAGCGACTAGTGTGAATCTGAACATAGTCTCTGCAAGCGACTCTTCCCCGCAATGCCCCCATGGGGATATTAGATCCGAGATTTTTGCCCAAAGAATTGGACAGAGCGGGGCGCTAGCACAGCGCATAAGCATTGGCGTGCACCCTGCCCATGTGGGCACTACTCTGGATGCAGAGTTGAGCCCATTCTCCGGGGCCCCGAGTTCCGATGACTGATATTTGCTTGTCAACTTGTAGATCGGATGCTGGAGGTGTTGTTTTGGAATGTCCGGTGCGCTTGGATGACGTGCCCTCAGACTGCCGGTTTCTCTGTTCGGGAGATTGTGGGGTGATGAGCAATTTCAATAGCATAAATAGGTCCTGTCGACATGGCAGGGAAGAGTAGTCGAAAAAATTATTCAATCTTCTAGACCGAGAACAACTCCTTCTATCCCCCCGCTACACGCGATTAAGCCATCATGTTACCCAGCCCGAACAAGCTGTTTCTGTTAACAGCAGCATTATTTGGACATGCCATTGCTCTACCAGCTACTGTAGATTACGACGGTGAGACCCTACCACGCCAAACTTGTACTATATCAATCCCACCAGGACCCAAAATATTCTAACCCAACTCAATTAGTTCTCCCTAGCACCGGTTTCGTCCTCAACCTGGACGTCGCAGCCAGCAACATCACCTACACCGTGCAAGGCAATGACACTATACACACCATAGCTGCCAAGTACAACGTCGGCGCCTGCGACCTTGCCCGTCTGAACGTCCTCTCCGACCCGAACTTCCTATACGAGAACGAGACCCTCCGAATTCCCGCCCGCGCTACCTTCCCTGACGACTACTCCTGCTTCAGCACGAACAACACCGATGCAACAGCTACATGCATCTACGGCGACCCTCACGTGTATACCATCTTACCCGGAGATACGATTCAGAAGATCGCTAATGAGCGGTATAATATCACAACGGATCCGATTCTCAGCTTCACTGCGCAGACGGGCTACATTGCTGCTTTGAACCCCGGTATTTATGATGTGCTAGAGACCGGGCAGACGGTGAAGATCCCGAGTTGAGGAAATGGCAACCATATCTTCAGTAGGCACCCCGTAGAGTGTGTTTTCTTTATCTTTCTTCACTAATGTCTCGCGTGGATGCCGAGGCCGACGACTCCTCTTCTCTGTATGTATTGGTTAGAAACTGCTGTAGGCTCGGGGAAGCACAAAATTATCCCAATGAACCACTCTCCGAGAAGAGTATCGAATGTGGTGTTGCTCATAGAACCAAAGTATAGCCGGAAATACCTCAAAGGTACAGCCGACTTTGTCTCATTACCAGAATAGGAAAGGAATGTAATGACTTACGCCTCATTTTGAAAAAGTCCTTCCGGGGGGATACACTCGAACTGGCGAACATCAAAGTTTTCAGGAGTATGCTCCCACCTTATCACCCGAAGGACACTAACCGCCTCTCTAGCATTCCAATGATAATGAAGAGGGTTGTCGAGGGTTGCATACGCATATGGGATTATGTTCTCCATCATGGGCCGGTTATAAAACTTCACTTCATCACCATGCAGAATAATTCCCCAATAATTTATTGTTCCTGTGACCCATTGAGGCATCCTCATCCAGAAATCGCGCAGCCAATGTTCTTTCCAAGCCATTCCCTCCGGAGACTGTTCGCCTTCCGAAGCAACAAAAACGAGGAACACACCAAACCCGCTGTTCCGCGAAACCAATATTATATCCGTAGAATCTATACCTTCGACCGTCGAGGACTTGAACCTAACTTCAATAGAGAAGCCGTCGGGTCCCCGGAAGGTGTTTTGAAATTGGTTGATCCAGTATATAGTTCTCGGGTTAGCTGAGATTATGGAACCCGAGGTGCAGAGAACATTGTTGGTAAACATGATGGTAGGAAAGCCAGCATCCAGCTAAGCCCGGTCAGGGAGATGAATGCTAGATAAGAACATAATTGCCGCATGCGTTCAGATGTGTCATTTATATTGTAAATCCAAGCAGAAATTCATATGAGGCTGCTATTGTCACTGGGGGTTTCCGTTGTTATACTATGGTTTTCGGATACCGTTTGGGACCGACCATGGCCTCTGTTGCTGTTAGAACGCTTCTCCCCGATAAGAATCCACTTTCTTGAGGAAAGTCCAAGTCTGATCCATTTATGAAGGTAAATATGGCGTCTTAAAACTTAGAGCCTATCTTAATGATCAAAATCCCCCGCGTCCAGGTGTATCGTTGGGACATAATGCACCGCCTACAACATAAACTCATACCAATAAAATGTGAGTTGTTGCGGCGGCGCCCCAGCTTGTCTCGAGGCTAGGATGATTCCGATCGAAAATTTGCCAGTGGAAGAATGTGGCCCATCATTCCTCGCCCACTCCCCAAATGTATTCACTTGTATGAAGCACGAATTTTTCTTGTATGATATATAGGTAGGAGTGGCTCACATGCATTCCTGCTACCCCTTTTTTCCTTCACGTGCCGTTATTGCCACCTATATATATTGTCAAAGCAGTGTACTAGGTACATCATATATATCGAAATAATCATAAGCAAAAATAAAGAAGGGAAAGATAGTGATTTGGAGAAAATTCATTAGACGAGAACCTTATGACTAGACTATAATACGCAGGGCAAACCATTAAGACCTATAGTAGTAGTAGTATTACTTATCCTCAAATTTAGCGCAGCTATTGGCACTTTGTTGAGTCACTAATAGTTAGAAAGATCTTCTAAGGCAGTCTCCTAGTATCGCTAGTATTTTTCATTTTATAAGATCTATGGAAGAAGAATTATAATTTTAGCTCTTATATTACAGCCCGGTTCCTGAGCCTTTACTGAGAAATTCCGGTCTATCAGCCTTTGTATATGATAAGTATAGAGGTCTGTAGAGAAAAACTGCACGGGGGAAAAATCTTAAATATTCTTATTAAACTAACTAGAAATAAAAGCACTATACTCCATGACCTGTCTTGATTTATATTGAATATATTCTTCTTCCTGGTACTGGGCGGGTGTCTAGTCTCCTCTCTTTTACTAGTAGTTATAGCTGCAGGAGTTGAATCTACTACGCTTGCCTATCTAGCATAAGGAAACTCCTTTTCAGATGTTTCGTAACAGTATCATTCGGGGTGATTACCACCACACCACCTGGCCACCAAAAAAAGAAATTATTGTGCATCATCCGTGAATCGAACACGGGCCTCATCGATGGCAACGATGAATTCTACCACTAGACCAATGATGCTTGAGCTGCGGACCATTGCGTTATCTGATTCGCTGCATCATTAAGACCCATAAATATGTATTCAAACAACTAGGTTTTCAAACCGATCGTTTTCGTACTTCTGGTCACGTGCTTCGAATTTTTTTTTCCAGCTAAAAGCAGTATGGGGAAACTTCCCGTCTTTCCCCGCATATTGGTTGCTGGTAATGAGTGGACACGACTACCAGCTACTCTCCATCCCTCGGCACCCGCGAATGTATCCTCGATGAAGTCGCCGCGAGATACTTTTTCCTCAATCCAACTGGAGCCGGTACCGTGATGGTCAGGTTGGGTCATAGCCAGGTTGGACTTACTTCAGGGCCATCCTCTGGATTAGCCATATCACAGTCAATGGCATAGATACCGAAGCCGATGGGAGGCGCTATCCATAGCCGATTGTTAGTGCCATAACCGATAAGAATGTAGATCTACAACTTATCTTCTGGGGCTCAACTGCTACTATTTCTCATCAATTTACGGCTATGGTCCTATCGGTAAAGGGGTGAAAATTCATCAGTAGCCCGTATGAGCACGACTTCTCCGCGTAGTATCGGCAATGGATTGTTTCCCGCATAGTCTAGTTTCTCGACCTCGCCTGCCGGTATATAAAGGTGAACAATTTCTTTCATCAATCTTGCCCATCGTTAGCAATTCTCCAATTTTGACAATAAGTTTCACTCTTTTGTCTATTCATCGTTATTGCATCGTTTGTGCTACCATGTCCACCACTTCTACTGTCACTCAAACCGCCCTTTGCTCCAGGCCGGACCTCAAGGTCATTAAAAATGGTTTCGGTGCCGAGATTACTGGCCTGGATTTCACTTACGGTGTCACTGATGAAGCGTTTCGCTTTATTGAGGATGCGGTAAAGAAGGTTAGTAGTGAACTGGTATCGTGCGAAACCATACACTGAGACTATTACAGTATGGCTTTGCCGTTGTCCGTAAGACAAACCTCGTCGACGAGACCCACCTCGAGCTGGCTCGCAAGTTTGGTGAACTTGACGATGTAACGCCCTACAATAAGGCGGGCCGTGTGCACCGTCTCAAATACAACGAGCTCTTTGACGTGGGTAACATCGAACTTGACGGCTCCATTGTGGACATAAACAGCCCGAGGGGTGAGGCGAATAAGGTATGTAGTTACTCTCCCATTCAGAGCCATACCGAGATAGAGAAAGACGAACAGAACTGACTATCTCCAGGGTAACTCTCTGTTTCACACCGACTCTAGCTTCAACCCTCGCCGAGCCGGTTACTCTCTTCTACTTGCCCATGAGCTTCCGCCACCCGGGACTGGGGGCTCTACTGCCTTTGCCGACATGAGGGGCGCCTACCGTGATCTTGACGACGATTTCAAGCACTTTTTGCACGAAAGAAACTTCATTGCCCGTCATTCCATTCTACATTCCAAGAAGATGGCTGCTCCGGAGCATTTCAAAGATGTTAACCCTACAGATCATTTTATGTCCCGCCACTTACTACTGCAAGAGCACGAGCGCACCGGCATTCCCACTATTTACCTCGCCAAACATATCCACTCACTCGAAGGTGTCTCCCCGGAAGAATCTCAGAAGGTCCTTGATAGGCTTTTCGAGCACTCCACTCAAGACAAGTACGTCATTGAAGTGGAATGGATGAATGTTGGTGATATGATTGTCTGGGATAATACATGTACGATGCACCGTGCCATCAGTGGCGAGTTCATGACCAAGTACAGGAGAGACATGCGGCGTGCTACTGTGCATGATGACAGCAGTTTAGCATGGGGCCTGAATTCCAAGAGCGATCAGCGGATGGGGCTCCCTTAAAGCGTCAACATACTTTGTACCTATTTCAGGCCAACCTCGCCATTGTCGCGATGAAATTATAGTGTAGCCAGCAACAATCAACCCCAAGCACCTGAAAATCAATACTCATGTTAATTCTCAGTGCGCAATCACCCTTAAGTAGTGATTTGCAGTCTGCTTTGTTGTTGTCGCCACAATCCCGTAAGACACGGCTTCGGCAATGGTTTTCGGCTATAGCCGAGATTCTCCACATCATCCCCCTCATACCTCTGAGAAGACCTCGATTCTAAAGATTTCTCGGAATCACTACCTATTACCGATGCATAAAGGAATTCGGCAACCATGACTGCCAGTACAGGTAAGAGGTCATCTCGTGCCTGCCTGCGATGCCGTAAGCGCAAGACCAGATGCGACCTGTAAGGATGCTCTTTACATCAACGATGACGCCTTCATCTGCCCAGGTAGCGGGCTAATACGGCTATAGTGATACCATCGGAGAACCAGGCAAAGCTCCCTGTGTCTTTTGCCATGATACTAAGAGCCAATGTGTCCTCATCAAGTCCAGGCGAGGGGGTAATTTCCGACAGCATCAGCACAAGTCGGGCAATTCGCGACGACAGAAGACTTTGCTCCGAACAAATTCCGGAGACTCGAATGGGCCTGACGTGGAACCGGCTAATAGCGTGTCTGATGTGACCGGAAGTTCTTCAGATGGTGAAGGCAGCGTTGGCAGACAGAATCCTGGAGATGTCTTAGCTATGGAACTCCGGAATCCATCTGATGCGCTGCAGATACTAGCCATGTCTGGTCAGGTCCGGTCCGGAAGTCGGCTTCAAGCTCAGTTCACCAGCACGGCAAACTTAGAGGAACAATTGGACGCTGCAGCTCAAAGAGCAAGCGCGTCAGATACCAACCAGTCTCAGGACTCTCAAGGCCACCAGAGGCCTTCGGCGACTAGCTTTGATGACTACGAGTTGGTAAAGAGAGGCGTATTGCGCCCGAGCCTAGTATTTGAGCTACTACATGAGTTAGCCACACTTCATGGAACCGCATCTGTGTCTACTGACGGAGACCAGGTATCACAATTATTATCATCCGTATTGTCCGATCGTCCCTTCTCATTTGCTGGTTTTATCAAGAATGAGCCAGATTCAACGGTCTGAATACTTTCTTCTCACAGCTATCCTCACCATTGCGTCGAGAGACAATCCCCACCATTCACTCACCCACCGTTATTGCTGGGATCACACCCAACGCCTCTTGGTTGATGTACTCCTGGCACACCCCTGGACCCAAACCCCAGCAACTGTCCAGGGACTGTTGCTTTTGGCGGAGTGGCTTCCCCATATTCAAGTTCAAGAAACCTCTTCTGAATCCACCAAAAATCTATTTAGCGAAGATAGAACAGCTTGGTCGCTTGTTGGGCTCGCAGTTCGGCAAGGCTATCTCCAGCGCCTCGACCAGGCCGCCTTTCGTAATTTTAGTCACAGTGGGTCAAAGCAACGAACAGAGCAAGACAGGATTGTCTGGGCTTGTAAGTCTTTATATCTTTAACTTTGGCTTTCAATGTATGTCCTGACATCAGTTACAGATATTTTTATTGCCGATCGTCAGATATCAGTCCGACTTGGGCAGTCATTCTGGTCCCGAGGCCCGTCTCTTGCCACAAAATTCACCGTCGACGATTTCCCGAGTCTTCAGCCTCGTCCGGAGAACGACAATGAGGACTATGCATCGTGGCTGCAAGCATCTATGGAGCTGATACAAATCTTGCATAATGCTCATGCAATTCTTTACTCATCCAAAGACCGAACATTGGCAATGGTCTATGAAGGTGATTACGCCCGGTATCTTGATGACTTTCGAACTTCCGCAACCACGTGGCGCTCGGCATGGGGCAATCTAGCTGTGTCCGCTAAGATAAGGACAACTCTTCTTATCATGTACGAGTACATTTGCCTTTACACGAATGCCTTTTCCTTCCAGGCGGTCCTGACGAGGGCTTCTCGTCCACACGGATCATCCAAGGGACAGCAGAATGAGCGCCCATTTGCCCACATATTATCCAAAGGCATCATGGCATCCCCCGATGGTCGGTACATATTTGATGCTATCAGCGCAGCAATGAATCTGTTGGCTCTGATGAATAGACTTGATCCGCAACATGTGCTATGCTACCTACCGTCTCGTTACTATTTGTAAGGCTTTTTACCATCCAGATTTACCTACTACTTACACCTAGTGGCAGATATGGTGTCTATGCAGCAGTCCTACTGCACAAAGCAGACCGAGCAGGGGCGTTCCAATCCGAAGAACAACACCAAGAGATTACCACCTTAGCCCAAAAATTCATATCTGCTCTCGAAAAGGGAGCGTCGACTGAATCACACATCTGCCACAGTTACAGTCGGATGCTAAGGCAACTATGGAGCCGGCGGGAGAAGAAGAAAACTAAAGCTTCACGCAGCCAAGATAACACAGAGTTGAACCTTGGTGGCCAGCACAATCTCTCAACACCCCCACAACCGTTTCTATTGGGTCAAGAGCCCGATAATCAGACATGCACCAATGGCACCTTGGGCGACGCCTGCATCTCACAACAGATAAGCCCTCTACCAATGGGAAATAATGTGTCAGAGTTTCCCTCTGTTGAGGGATATTTTCTTGGTTCGTTCATGCCTGGTATCGCTGACTTTAGCACTCCTAATTTCGATGAATACTTGGCCCAAGAATACTCCTTGATCGGTAGTGCAGATGGTCCCCAAAACTGGAACTCAGTAAATCCTAATGTGGATTCCCACATTCTTGATTTGTAGTACTACAATGACAACAGTACTTATAATCGGGTTCGGGTTACTGCATCGTTTTGGGTTCAACGGAATTCCGACGACTAGCTCATTCATGTGACCTTGCCTATCCAACGCACTTCATTTAGCTTGAATATTGCGTATTATTAGAAATAAAGTGCCAATTTTATATGATCTTTCAAGATCTCGATCATGATAGGATACTTCGGCAAAGGTCCCACAAAGCTTCGCTCTCGCGATAAATGCTAGCCCCGCCTAGTATAGATAGCATCGGACACCCGCAGGAACCCCGGTTTTTTCCAGCTAGCCCTAAGCGGCCCATAACGCCATCACGTTTCGCGGGCCATGTGGCCTGAAAAGCTCTTACGGCCCCCATGTTTGGATGCCACTAGTCCGCGCTACCACGCTACCGCGCTACCTGTTTTTGCAGCAGATGAGAAGGCCAGTTTTACACTGAAATACCCTATTTGAGCTTCTTTCTATTTTCGCCCATATATCACCCAGTGGCCGAAGGTAGAGTGTAAAGAGTGATGAGTAAAATGCTTCTACCCACGACAGATGTCTTTGTTTTGCATACATGGGGGGATTTACTCACGGTTTAAATGGGAATGTCACCGCAGGAGCATGGGGAGCTGGGATTTCTGCCGAGCCGTGGGTTAGTGTTGGTAGTATCCCGCTGTCTCAACCAGAGCGGGGTTGAATTCCCCGGCAATATCAATTGCCACACCGTCCAGTCAGATTATGTCGAAGCACTAACCGCTAGACCAAAAACGATATATCGCGTGGTTCTAGCCAGGCGACGGAGAGATATGTGTCCCAACAGATTATATTCCCTTATTATCTCTTCCTATCTTGTTTGATAAGAACCGGTATCAGAATCTTTCAGTCCGTTTATATCCGCCTCCTACTTCCTGTGGAAATTAACAGCTAGCAATGCGGTACCTCGCATACCTTGCTTGACCTACATATCCCTCCGAAGAACGCCACTAGCCTAAACTGATAAGCATACAAGCAAATTGGGTGCGTGTATCGAAAAGGTGTAGAACAAATATTTAGCCATCCGTCCCATTGGCGGGATACCTCGCTTTTTCAATTGATTGGCGCCGCCCTAATGCAGGCGGAATGCAAGCGATAGCGTCAGGTGCGTGTGTGTTATCTTGCACCAATATGGTGTGCTACAGCAAATCGTATTAGACACCTTCATGTGTTCAGAAGAGGAACAGGGGAGTTATTTTACATAAGAGCGCTCTTGGGAGAGTCCCATTTCTCGGTATTAGACTTTATCACATCCTTTTGTATTCCCTCATGTATGATTAAAGCAGCCCACCACAGGGTCCACAGGGTACACAGAAGATGGCTGACTACAAAGATCCCATCTTCTTGAGCAGCAACTCTGATAAAGAGAAGGCGGATCCGACGGGTACCAAGATCGATGAGTCCGACCTGCACTCTCTCCTGGATCAATTGCGGCAGATCGTGGCTGAAAATGAACTTGACGTCAACTTCCCTGTTCAGATCATCGCTCAGGCGCGCGAGATCCTCGATGCCGATACCAAGCATATTGATCTCTCTCAGCTGCAGGAGATCATTTCAGATATTGAAAAGCATCGTGATCTCATTGAGAATGACTCTCCCTATCCGGAGGTCCGCGCTGTGGTCGACCCAACTGATGACCCTGAAATCTCGGCCAATACTTTCCGAGCCTGGTTCCTGGGCATGATAGCTACCATCGTCTTCACGGGGGTCAACCAGTTCTTCACCCTGCGCTATCCCACTATTGTCATTTATTCCATTGTCGCTCAATTGCTGTCCTACCCCTGCGGGGTCTTCATGGCCAAAACCCTGCCTACGCGCCAGTGGAACCTGTTTGGCTGGAAGTTCAGTCTGAATCCCGGCCCCTTCAACCAGAAGGAACACATGCTCATCACTGTTATGTCTAATGTCTCCTTCGGCGGTACCAATGGCACAGCCTACGTGACGTACATTTTTCAGGTGCTGAAAGCCAAATCCTTCTATAACCTGACATCGCTGTACGATCAAGCCGGTTTCCAAATCCTCGTTACGCTATCCACACAACTACTGGGCTACGGCTGTGCCGGCGTGGTACGCCGATTCCTAGTGTACCCACCGTCCATGATCTACCCCAAGTGCCTTTCAACCATCGCTCTAAACAAAGCCCTACACAGCGATGAAGGCCGCGAGCGGGTCCACGGCTGGAAGATCAGCCGATACCGCTTTTTCATGTACTGCTTCATAGGCATGTTCTTCTACTACTGGTTCCCGGGGTATATCTTTCAAGCCTTGTCGTACTTCAACTGGATCAACTGGATCGCCCCGGATAACGTCAAGCTAGCCATCATTTGCGGGACTATCACCGGGCTTGGCCTCAACCCCTTACCCACTTTCGATTGGAACATCATCTACGCACTCTACGACCCGATCATCTATCCCTTCTACGCATTGGCCAACATTGGTATCGGCACTATCCTGGGAGCCTTCTGCGTCATTGCCCCCGTTTACTTCAGCAACGTGTGGAAAACCGCTTACTTCCCCATCATCAGCAACGATGTTTTCGACGACACGGGCAACACGTACAATGTCACCCGAGTGCTGAACAGTAAGGGCGAATTCGACCTAGAAGGCTATGAAGGTTACAGTCAACCGTATCTCACGGCCGGGTACTCCGTCATGTTCTTTTTCTTCTTCGCCATGTACTTGGCAACTATCGTGCACGTCGCACTCTACAACCGGCGCGAGGTCATGAAGGGATTCCGCGCCCTATGGAAATGGGCCAGTGCGCGAGAGGAGCACGAGGACGTCCACAATCGCTTGATGAAGCAATACAAGGAGGTCCCGGAGTGGTGGTACCTGGTTGTGCTGGCTGTCTCGTTCGTATTCGGCTGCATCGGCGTCGCCAAGTATGACACCGGCATGCCCATCTGGGGTATCGTCTTCGCCATCATTCTCTGCCTCGTGCTGCAGATTCCATACGGCATGGTCTACGCCATAACCAACTCTGAGGTAACGAACAACGTTATTGCCGAGTTCATTGGAGGATACGCCATCACCGGCAAACCCGTCGCCAACCTCCTCTTCAAGGCATTCGGATATATCGCCTGTGCCCAGTCCATCCAGTTCGTGGCTGATCTGAAGCTGGGCCACTATATGAAGATTGCCCCGCGAGTGATGTTCGCAGCCCAGCTGGTAGCCACAATCGTCGGCGCATTTGTCTCCCTTGGAGTAAATGTCTGGGCGCTGGCCAACATTGAGGACGTGTGTTCCACCACCCAGCCGGACAAGTTCACCTGCGCCGGTAAGTGATTTTATTCCCCAAATTGATGTTTCCTCCCACACCAACCCACATTTTCATTTACTGAACACATAAAATAGGCGCCCGAGACTTCTATACCTCCTCTGTAATTTGGGGCGCCATCGGCCCGCGGCGCCTCTTCGGCGCAGGGCAGATCTACAACCCGCTGCTATACGGCTTCCTCGTTGGCGCCCTCCTTCCCATCCCCTTCTACTTTATCACCAAATGGCGCCCCCGCTCCATTCTCCGATACGTTTATATCCCGCTGGTGTTTTACGGAATTTGCGATATCTCTCCGTACAATGTCACGTACGCGTGGTGTCCGATGGTGGTGGGATTCATCTTCAACTATTGGATCAAGAGACGGTGGCAGGCGTGGTGGGAGAAGTACGCGTATGTGTTCACGACCGCTATGTCGTGTGGAGTGGCTATCGCTGCCATCATTATCTTCTTTGCTGTCGAGTACAAGGAGGTCGATTTGAATTGGTGGGGGAATGAGGTCTCGTATGTGGGGTGTGATAATGATGGGTGTACGTTGTTGGCGATTCCGGAGGGAGGGAAGATCTGAGGTTGACTCTTTCTTTCTCTGGAGTTGTATGTGGTTTTTTTGTGTGTTTTCTCGATAAATGAGATGTGTGTATGTATGTAGAGGATAGTAGGAAGCAATAAGAGGAAGCATGGTGATGCATGTAGAGGCAAAGATCCAAAGCAAAAAAAGGTCAAAAAAATGGGCGACACAATATTTCAGAGTCTAAGACAAGGTCCTGATACGGATCGAACACGGAACCTCTCAACTAAGTGACATGAAAGACCCGACGCGAGTGATTAACCGTTAGACCACCCAGGTTTGCCCTGAGAGAGTGACACCGTGAAAGGTTTATTGAGTGGGCCTACTTGTCTTGGGTCACCGCCTTGAGCAGGCTGCAGCTTGTTGATAGTGAATGAATTCGAGGTCATGTGAGTCATTTTGGGAGTGGGTATGCTATCACTGCATGTATTAGTACCATATTCAGCTGTAGCAGACTACACGAGCTGGCTGTATTGTAATTGGTAAAGGGGAGAGGGCCTCTAGTAGATGCTAGCTATTGTATAGAACGTGATAAGAACATACAGATAAGGAGGGTGCGGATATTATATGACATCAGCAGTTTCTATCTACTTGTATTTATACTTCAGATAGGATTCTAAGGTAGGCCATTGCAATCGAACACAATTTGTTAGATTTCGTCCTCGAGTAACTGCCAAGTTATTTAGCCTTTCGATCCGATAAACGGAAGGGACGGAACTGGACAATAATCTTGATTGAGGTTTCGCTATTTATACACTTTCTCCTCTCTAAGCCTCTCCAGCCGTTTCAACTTCCCTCGGAGATGCTCGATCTCGTCCTCCAGCTCCTCCCTCGAAGCCACCCAATACTTCAACTTCAATATCGCCGCAGAAATCAACAAAAACCCAATAGACACCAACGGAGACCACTGTCCCACTTGCTGCGGCGCCTCCTGTGATGGTCCATCTTCGTGGATATAATACTCAATCCACACCACAAAAGCAATGACCGTCAGCGGGCTCACAATAATGCTAAACACTAACGCACATAGGATTATAGTATCGAGAATAAGCCTCAGCCACGAGCCCAAGGCGTGTAAGGTAAAGAGACCCCCGGTAGGTCTCCACACAGAGAGCTTCTCCCTCGTTGAATCCATCAAATCGGTTCGATGAAGTTGAGACACATATATTGGGGAGCGGAAGTCCTTCCTTAACCCATTGAAGATGTTCTTCCGCTCGATCCAGATGCTGCGTACTTGAGCTGAGGGAAGACGTGACCGATACGGAAGGATCTTGAATAGTAAAAGGAAGAAGTTCACGATAACAGTGAGGACGATGAGACTGTAAAATAACGTTTGGAGTAGACTACCTCGTCCCAAAATTCGCTTCGTTGATGAACGCGGTAGTCCCCCGTGGCGACAGTCGCCTCAAGAGTGGTCTGTTGGCGCAGGATCTGCGTCGTGTTGAAGCAGGGATAAAAGCAGACGCCTGGTAACTGGTCGAACATGGTGCTGTTGCTGAAAATTTCCCAGACACTGTTGTTCCAGGTTGAGGTGCGCTGCCATGCCTCCCATCCATCGCTAGAGACGGTGCCCATGGGTGGAAGATCCGGGTAGCAAAAGGTATATTGGATGGGAGTGTCGCGGAGAGTGGGCCAATATATCAGGGCACAGATAGACCCAGCAAGCATGAGCATGTGCCATAAGCCGAAAAGGATATAACGAGCTCTTTCATGCGAGAAAGCACGGGACCAGCATTGAAGAGGAAGGAAGGTGAGGTAAGCTGTTACTACTATGGCGAGAACGGCGTCGGCATCCAGCTCAAGTGCAGCTGGACTCAGTTCGATTTGATCGGCCTCCGTGATCAGCGATGGGAAGCTGTTCCATAGCGAGGTGTTATCGGAGACTAAGGGGATTGTTATGAGCTCGTAGGGATTGTGTTTCGCCGGATTGGAAACGAGAATGAAGGCTTGGATGGCGGCGGTTCCAGCATATGTTGCTGCCGCACCCAGGAAGACGTCTGCGAGCCAGCCGGTCCAGCGAGTGACACAAGTGGCTAGAAGGAGGGCATAGAAGAGATAGCGCGGACACGAGTCGTAGAAGGTGCTGATGGGGTAGGCGCAGATGACCTCTTCCACTACGAAGAGAGGCGTCTCGCTTGTCTGGTTCATTCCAATGTGGCTGGTTGCATCCTCGCCAGGTATCAGTGTGTAAAATGTTTCCTTCGCACTGCCAGGAGCTGGCGGATTTCACCGATCCTCCCAGGGGGTGAATCTCGAAGAACAATTTAGGTTCATGGTTGAATCTTAGACCAAGTGGAGACCTCGTGATGTCATCACAACCGGCGAACTTCAACCCGCCCTATCACGGAGACTATGCAGGCAGAAGTTCCTAAACCGAGTTGAAGACATTCGATTTCCGCTACTACGCGCAGAATTCGAAGCCATCCGACCGATTGTCCTTCTCTTATGAGGGTGTTCGTAACAAGTACCGCCGAACAAATTTGACCAGACTCACTGTAATTGGAGCGTCCGTGAGCAGAGCCACTATAGCGGGATCATCTAACAGTGGAGGAATATTTAACCCAGCTATAATTCCTACATAAATCATTTAAACATTCTAGTTTAGAGGGAAAAGATTAGATGCGATTATCTAAGATTTTACACATGCTAAATTCTTTTCTATTTTGAAACTCATATATAAATAAAAGGTGTGAAAGTAGCGGCATACGAATCCGTGATTACTGATCTAACTTGCCCAAAGTTAGTCAGTCCTCCAATTCAGTACCACAAATTGTAGTGCACTTCTTTCTATTCACCATTCTCATACCACGAAGAGAAGAAAGATAGAGAAGGAGGGAGTTATCAAAAAATAAATGAGAAGAAAAATATCCAAAAAAGAAAGGTACAAGCAAGGCCCGAGCCGCGGATCGAACGCGGGACCTCTCGCAGATATGCTTGGGTTTGTATCCCTAAGCGAGAATCATACCACTAGACCACCCGGGCTTGTTAAGAGTGAATTTCTGAATAATGAAAAAATAACCCTGACCAGTACCTTTAGGTTAAAAAGTCAATCACCAAGTTAGGTCTGCGTTATGTTTTAAGGATAATGAAACTATAGGGGAGCAGCTACAGAATGCGCCTTGCTGGACAATTGAAGGTATGTTCATCGACAACATCCTCGCTATCACCCGTATTTTGCGTACGTTTGGGGGTCACTCTGACCTTCTATAATGATTTAGTATATATATGTAACTAAAGGTATTCCCAATCTTCTAGGTCCATACAGCTCACAGAGGATTGAAAAACCGTGGTCCTGCGAGCGTTACGAGCGTAGCTATAGGCACGATGAGTTAGGTAAACGGGGCCTGAGTCGCAAATGGATATGAATAACATCCCATAACAGGGGAGCATATGCATTCAGGAGGCCGCAGTAGGCGGAAAGGGAATCCGCAGCGGAAAATGCCCGATCACCTGGAAAATCACCAGATCTCCCAACTTACCAAGATAAGCTCCTCGCAAACCGTCACATGACCTTATAATGTATATATCGGAACGCGAAAGACAGGGGGCAGCACTTACACAACACTCCGTTATTCGACGGGAAAAGCCAGCATTTGCCCAACTGACAAGCTTATATTTATGTATATATATACATATATATCTGGCTGCCCACTTTCATTGGCATTACTTAACACAGATGGACGAAGCAGAGATGCAGTCATCCCCAGTCGACAACGCAGACCTCACATTGTCGCGAAGAGACCAACCTCGGAAGAGCCAAATGCTCCCCCCGATGTTAAAAGAAGTAGAAGCTCCGATGACGGGGAGGCACCGCCGATCAGAAGCATTTTCGCGGCAACCCGGATGGTTCCTTTCCCAGAAAAAGTATGCTCGGATTTGTAAATATGTGTTGAAGCCATTTGACCATCTTGAAGCCCGCAGTTGTAGAAGAACAGAATAATAAGATAGAGTTTCAGGTTGTTAATTATGATAATTCCACGGAGAGTAAATCATTTTAACAGATCTCAAAAACCTGTTCGAAAAGCAATTACTGAAGATACCTAAATGACTTTCCAAGAGATCCGACATCGCAAATTCGCCAAAATTATGTTCTGTGCTGTTTTATCAGACCAGCTGGTAAAGGAATATGGAGCTCATCTCATGGCCCACCTCGGGGACTAAATTTAAGTATATAAACAAGCTTGGCCCTTCTTCTCTACAGTCATCAAATATAAAGTCCCAGATTATTAGAAGGTCATTGAATCTCCAATGGACCTATCGCCAATGGAAGAAAGGTGAGAGAATAGTTTTTATTTTACCTCAAAAGCCCAGGTCGACGATCTCAAGTTGATCTTTTGTAATTGTCAGCAGTATAATAATAATAAAACAACGGTCTATGTCAAGTCTGCGTCCAAGCTGGAGAAATACATGTATTCTCTCTGATTAAAGAGATACCGGGATGGTTTGACTTACTGGAAGATAAATATCTACGCCCTAACTGTTCCCCTACATGTCAGCCTACTGCTAAGTGATTGAAGAAGAGTTTTGTAAAGTCCGGTTGGTACTTGCATTACTGAGTGTAGGGCGGTACTGGCCATGAACTTGACAAGGCCAAAAATCTGTAAAAATATAAAAACATACAACAGAAGGGATTCGCTGGTGGTCACCCACCCAACTACTAACCTCCCGGCGTGTGGCTTAAGTACGGCTGAGCGGACGGGAAGCCCTGTTTTCCACACCCTGTGGTCGTATGTGCTTAATTTGTCATTGAAGGCCCTTATATCCTCTATTATAGAGTATGATGCAAGATTAATACTAAAATAGAAGACCAAATATCAATCAATATGCAGACCTAGGTTTAAGAATCGACTTGCGCGCCTCCATGTAAATCGCACTCCGGGCTTCATTTACATCCGCATCTATCCCGATTCCAAATGCTATCTATACTGCTCTCATTGTAAACGAGATCCTAGTTGCTCCCGCCAGGATATCTTATATCGATCTTCAATGTTTCTGCAAACATGAGTTTCCGAGTATGTTTTCATATAGCAGTTAGCACCGCATTGCTAGATACTACACAACGATGAACTATCAAGACTATCTATGTCTCCCGCATGAGCACAGCCCTATAGCGCACCTTTCCATCTCTCAACTGGCTCATCGCCTCTTCTATGCCAGAGCTAGTGAACGGAAAGGTCATTATAGTTGGATAAATCTGCTTCTTCGCCGCAAACTCCAAAAGTGCCTGTGTACTCTGACGGGAAGCAACCAAGGAGCCCTGGATCTTACAGCCCTTGAAGCATAGCTCCAACGTAGGAATTGGGGAGGGCTCAAAAGTTGCAGTCAAGGGATAAATAGCACTATGGCTATCCATGAGTGGTAGGATTCTGTCCACAACTCATCTAATCAGTCATACGCCCTACTCATGTAGCACCAGAATTAACCGCAGAACGACTCACGAAGAATACTTCACATCAGCACTCCCACAAAGCAGGAGGTGCTTCAATGGCTTAAATGACTGGAGAGGGCTTTCCGCCCGAAAGACATGGTACTCCGACGCTCCGTACTCCATAGCCTCTTGCCTCTTGGCCTCGGAGCTCGAGAGCACGACGACATGGTACCCCATAGCAGCAGCCAGCTTGATAGCCAGGTGACCGAGACCACCCACGCCCTGTATTCCGACCCGATCACCGGGGCGCATGTCGAATCGTGTCAGAACTGTCCACACCGTAGCCCCTGCGCACATCAGGGGTGAAGCATGGGCCGTTTCTATCTCGTCCGGGATGCGAGACACACAGTTTGCATCCCAGATGGTGCCGTAGCTGAAGCTGCCGTTGTTGAAATCGTTTGTGCCGTATTGTTTCTTTTCTCGGCAGTATTGGTCCATATCTTTGACACCCGGGCAAGGTTCGTTAGTATAATTCCAAGTTATAACAAGTCATGAAAGCGATAGTTGTATAGACACCTTACCTTTCGCGCAGTTATCGCATCGCGCACAGATCCCATGAGTGAAACCAAATCCCACGCGGTCACCGATTTTGACCGTCCGCACGCCGGGCCCGATGGCCTTGATGATACCCACACCTTCGTGGCCCAGGACTTGGCTTGTCTTCAGGTAGTGTTCATCTGTTCCGCAGACGCCGGATGCGAGGGTCTCGATGAAGACTTCGTTGTATTCGAGGTCGCTAGAGACTTTGTCGCTGACGATCTTGCCCTCGGGAGAGCCGCGGAAGACATCGTAGGTTAACGCCATGTTATTTCTGAGAGACACGTTTGAAATACTGATTTAATAGATAACAGAAGAGACGGATGGATAGGAGCCTGTCTAGGTATCTTATATACCACTTTCTCTGCCTATTCACTTGTTGCGGAGATATTCTCCGCTGCGGGTTTCATTGTCCGTCCCCGCCTGCCCTACATTGCGGGTTTTTGATCCGTCTCACCACCGTCAACTGTCTGACAAGCAAGTAGGTAGCTTACGAGATCGGAGAGGCTCTACACGAAGGAGCTCCATCTGTCATATGAGCAAAAGTGCATTTTGGGAACGTTGGATGACTACTAAAGTGATTATAGTTAGTTTGCGATCGATGTTGTGTTTGGACCAGATAGCTGACTAATCACTTTCATGATTTCTAAGAAAAGAATGGCATGGACAATCATCAACAACAATGGCATGTGTACGCCGACCTTCGATCATTATTCCTTCTCTATTTGCATGATATAGGGCTATTACTGGTTACGATAATGCAGAGTGAAAGAGTACTTCCAGCCCGACATGCCCGACGTCGGATGGCCCCCCGAGGCCGGATTATGACCGCATGTGCTCGGTGTCAGAAACGGAAGATTCGAGTAAGTACGCCGACAGCAGATGATTACTTTTTTCATCGAAATTGATCCAGGAAACTCTTCTAGTGCGACGGAGTTACTCCCGTCTGTGGGGGGTGCCAACGAGCCCACGTGGATTGCGTTGAAGGAGTTTCAGTCCGTGACATTTCCCGAAAGTAAGCCGGCTTATTACGGGCCTGCTTATACCCACATACTAATATAGTATTTCAGTTACGTCGATGAGCTAGAAGCGCGGATAGAATGGCTGGAGTCCATCATCCGGGAGCACCTACCAAACATTGACCTCCACAAACCTGATGAACCTGAGGGACGTGTTCCCTTGGACCGTCATCGTGGCTCGGTTTGCAGAGGATCGAACCCTTCCACTGCTCCTGAAGCACATACTTCCCAAATTGGGAATGACAAGGATGACTGGGGCCCAGCGCGTGACATTATGGATCAACTTGGACTGGTCTCGATCAACGCAGAGGCGGATCTTCGATATTTGGGCCCTTCCAGCGGGCTTTTCTTTACCAGGTTCGTGCTAACCGGCCTTGGACGACGAGCCGGATTGGCACAAGAATCAGTTCCCCCATCCGGAGGAACCAACTTCATCCCTGCTGAGCTTCTCGATATTCAGCCCAAAGGTCTTCCATCTGACCTAAAACAGGCCCTGTGGTTGACACAGGCGTATTTCCAAGCAGTCCATGGGCAATTTCCGTTCCTGCATCGACCATCTCACCTGGACCTTCTGCAAAAGGCTTACAATGGCATCGAACTCCTCCCGCCCATCGATCAATTCCAGCTCTACATGGTCCTGGCTATTGGGGCCACTATTCGATCGCAACAAGTGAAGATACTTCTTTCTGCAGAAGGATACTGTGCCTCGGCGATAGTCCACTTGGACACCATTTTCCAGAAATCGTCGGTGCGCGGCGTACAGTGCATGCTGCTTTTGCAGATGTACACATTTCATAATCCGTCCTCGGCGATTAGTTTGTGGACACTGCATTACCATTGTCTAGCTCATGTGTTGGAACTTGGTTTGCATCGTAATGTTCGAGGCTCTGCTTTTACCGAGTTCGATCAGGAGATGCGCACCCGCGTCTTTTGGTGCGTGTATACAATGGATCGTTACCTGTGCACTTCACTCGGTAGGACAATAGGTATTATGGATGAGCAATGTGATCTGAGGATATCTCGCGTCTTTCCCTACAGCCTATATATATGTTAGAAAAGGACGCTAATAGTCAACATAGTTACCACACGACATCAACGACGAGGACCTAGAACCAGACCAACCGATTCCAAATCAACCCTCTACACCAGGGATAACCGACATGTCCAGCGCGATCCACCTCTTCAAACTCGCTCGCTTCATCGCCGAAATAAAATGCGTTCTATATTGCATCGACCGAAAACACACCCCTTACACGCAACCCACCATCACAGACCCCAACCACTGGCAACAAGATATACTTCACCGTCTACGGCAGTGGAAAGCAACCATCCCTCAGCATTACCCACAAAGCCCATCGTATTATCTAAACAGTCTGCTCGAGATCAGATACTATGAGTTAGTGATGTTGGTCGTACGCCCCAGTCCTCTCTTCCCATACCCGTCCAAGACCTTGATCAAGTTGTGCTTTGATTCCGCCTTGGAATGCACAAGGCTTTACCGCCAGCTATACATGACCAGTATGTTGCACTATAACCGGACGATTGTGCAATCGCTGTTTCTATGTACGATCACTATATTTTATTGTATATGGGCACCAAATGGATTAGAAGAGGAGAAAACCACCCTCGAAACCGTCTTACCTGCCCTAAAGTCCGCTTCGGATATCCCCAGCGCCACCGGGGAATGTTGGCTTGAAGTGAAACGGACTCGCAATGTACTGGATTGTATCACCAGGGCTACGGTAGGCCGGTTCTCTAGGAGACTTGGTCAATCATCGGCATCGATTCCATCAGGAAGTAACGGGACCTTGCACAATAATATAAATAGTCAAGGGGTGTCGATAATGGACTTGCCTACAACTACCTTGAATGATGGGTCGTGTACCGATGGCATCACTGGTAATGGTAATGCAGGGCCGGTCTCGGTAGATCCCTACTATGTGCCGGCGCAGCAGCCTGATGCTACACCTGAGCTCTTGTCTTTTTTCATGGATCCTCAGCCGGAGTCGGCGATGGAGTTGTTGGATTTCTCATGGGATGTGTTTGGTGGGGTTGATGATGCAATGCAGGAGATAATAGCTGGTGCGTCAGCAGAGTGATGAGATTCGGGATTGTGGATTATTGACATTTCGTGCGTTGTCATAGTATATACCGCTCAGTGTTGTGCATCTAAGTTGCTTTGTGAGTCTCTATGCCGGTTACGTTTTACAAAGGTTCTGGTTGCCGCAGGTGTTCACTTCAACTGTAGTGGATGCCTCAGGCCTGTATACGAGGGAGTGTAATTTGGCCTAGTCTCTGCCTAGCCGCTGTCAGGTCAGGTTCTTGCAATGGTAGAAAAGTGAGGTCTCCGACTTATGATATGGTTGATATCGTGTTGTCGAAAGAAAAGGATTCCGTTAGATGGTAATTTATGATGCCAGGTCAAGTCACTGTATAGACGACCCTCGCCATTATCGTAGGCTGTGCAATGCTATTACACCAACACTTCGTCTCTATTATGCACACATTATCATGATTAAGTAATATATCAGTTATCCCTCTTTCAGCGTTGCACTGCTGATTCCTTGATTGTCCTCGACCTCGCTGGTATGTGTCTTATCTGCTGTTTCAGTAGTCGTAAGTTTGTCATCCTTGGTAGGGTCGCTGCCGCCAAAGACGCCTTGCATTTCTTCGAGAGAGTAGTTGGAGGTCTATTCCTTGTGAGCAGATACATCAGTAATCCCGAGTGGGGCATAAGACGCACCTCCTTCAAGAAAATGAATGAATATACGACGATCGCGTAGTTGAAGATCGCAAACATAAGAAACATCCTCCATCCGATATTTTCAATCGCATGCGGAGTCACCTGCGACATCATGAAGTTGAAGAGCCATTGTGAGGCTGCGCCGACGGTCACACCGATCTCACGAGTGCGACTCGAAAAAATCTCTCCGACGTATAGCCAGGGAAGAGGACCCCAGGACATGTTGAAACTGAATGCTTCACAATATGTCATGATGATCATGGCGATTCCCGCTGGCGAGGCGTTTCCGGTGTCGCTGGAACTGGTTGGATGTGTGGCCAAAATGCAGGCAATGATGAGCATAAACGACCCCATCGCGGCGGCACCAACCATGAACGGCCATCGCCGACCGATGCGATCCATAACGAATATCTGGAAGACCGAGACACCGACTACTTTTACCACACCGAAGAAGCCAGTCACCAGCTTGCTTGAGTTTCCTGCACCCACGGCGGAGAAGATCTGAGTGGCATAGTAAGCAAGGGACGTGTTTCCCGTAAGTTGCGCCGCTAGCTGAATCGTAAAGGCGATGAACAATCGATAGCGATTTGCGGGAAGCAGCAGTTCCCGGAAGGTGAAACCTTGCTTGATTCGAGCTTCCTCCTCAATACCAGCCAGAATTTCATCAAATTCTTGCTGGAGCTCCTCAGTTTCTTCCCCACCTCGTACCCATTTGAGAGACTCTCTAGCCTTATCAATTTTGCCCTTGGAGGCGAGCCATCGAGCGCTCTCTTTAACCGTGCACATACCGAAGAGGAGAAGGGACGAGGGGAGAAGCTGCAGGCCTAGTGCGATCTGCCATTGTTTTGTTGCGGATGGCTGGTCTATCGACACAGCGTACGTGACCCAATAGGCGACCATGACTCCCAAAGCGAAGAACAGCTGGAAGCAAGACCCGAGTCGGCCACGTAGATCCTTAGGAGACATTTCAGCTGCATACACTGGAATCAGCACCGTTGCGGCACCAATGCCGAGACCAGCTATCACTCGACCAGCATAGAACGTGCCCAGAGTATGCGAGTTGACGACCTGCAAGATGGTACCGACGGTGAAGACAAGGGAACTGATGATGAGGCCGAGCCGGCGGCCTAGGTAGGATGCGATGGGTGTGGTGAAAAAGCAGCCGAAAAAGGCACCTGCTTGGAGGATCGAAACGGCGTTGGAGTTGACCGAGGTTTTTTGAGCGACCGTGTATCCGAAGTCATTCTGGAAAGAGGGCAGCGTAAGAACACCACCTGGCCATTGTCTGGTTAGCTAGCTCGTCGTTGTATATAACGAATAACCATGGAGTGTAGCGTACTAATAACACCAGTGTCGAATGCAAAGGCGAAAGAGCCCATGCAACTAGCAGACACCAGATAGATAGCCCGGAAGAGGCCCAATTTCCGACCCATTGTGAGAAAGACTGGTCCTCAAAGCAACCGATTTCGGTGCGGTTTAGGAGCAGTAAGAGCCGATTTGGAAAGTAAGGGGGACAGAGCCAAATGACCTGTCAGTGCCAGCACTGATATTTAAGATGATCAGGCCAAAATCTCGGTGGCTCAGCTGGCAGACCCCTGTTGTTGCGTGATTCGCGCTTGCGCGTGCTACACGGCAACTATAAGCTCCCGCGGGATATAACAAGTAATGGACTATCCCGTCAGCTGTGGCGCCTGCAGCTAGGCCCCTTGCTTTTGTGCAATCAGATGGCAGGTATGCGACGTCCGTGCGAAGATCCTTTATATTGACATATCGATGAAAGTGGTCATCAGGCAATAAACCCCGCCCGGGGGCGCTCGACTGGAGCCCTAGCGGAGGGGAGGGCGGCCAAGTCCGGACGTCAAGCTCTGATGTCTGCGACTCTGCGAAGATGGTTGGTTCCGGATGGGCAACAGCTGATGCGGATGACGTGCTAGCCATCTGTGACGACACGGCTCGCGCTCTCCAAATCGGAAAGTAGAGACTGAGTTTGAACATCGGTGAAAGTTAGGTCGCAGAGCAGATCTATAATTGCTTTTTGTATTGCTGATTCTTTGGCCCTACTTTCCGCCAGAATCTCCGACATCTAGATGAGACAGCTGGGGTACTTTGAGATCTCGATATGTCGCACATGGTGAAGGGCCAGGGATCGGTACCCCGCAAAATGTCGTGATGATCGACAGCGGACGGGGTGTGAGAAGATGCGACCATTGGTGGACTGAGCGACGAGGGATCAAGCCAGTCAGCATGCACTCCATCCAACTATGGGGACTTAAGGTTACTTCGACTTACTGGCTGGCCGCAATCGTTTCCTACAACTCATAGCGGGGCCACTGGTGGTCCCTCGTCGGTTGCATCCTGTCCAGCATCATCGACCATGGTAGTATCCAAGGTCTGGCAGGACTGGAGGATGTCTGTATACAGATGGAGTCACGATCGATAAGGCAGCGCCCAGCTCAGATCGACGCTGGAGGAGAGACGGAGCAAATGCCTCCTTTCCCAAAAGGGTCTGGACGTGTTCAGTCATCGCCAGAAATGGTATAGTGCAGGATTCTCGATCACATGTTCTCGGATAGCTGATGTAAGCACATGATTATGTCATTGGCTTTGCGCGTCACGTGAGCATATGAGACGATGTATTCCTAAGGCATCAGAGCAAACACAACTTTCCGTATGCAGGCTTTGTCATCTTATGCCATCCTGCATTAGTTATTCTCAGCTAGTATCTTTGTAAGCGGAACTATGACTCCTAGATTTACAGGATTCGCCAAGTTCTCCTTCTAGCCAACATACTAGCATTCCAGTATAGGGATCTCTCGCTACCTCGATTGAAGAACCCGCATGCTCTTGATTACATAGTCTCTCAAAATCTTATCATTCTCCTGCTTATTGACATATTGTTTATTTATTTTAGATCCATCTACACATGTCTGAAATTGTAGGACGATCCACACCAAAACAGTACAACAGTCCGATGTCAGCAACCAAGGAGAAGACATCATCACAAGCAAATACAACCATCACAATCTTGTACGGTGTTTCTTCCTAACCGGGCAATCATCCCAGAGCCCTGACGTCGTTAAAAAGCGCAGGTGATAGCCATGGCAGTCGCAAATGAATCAGTCGCTGGACCGGGTTAGTGATCGACATGATTGTCGAGCGGCCGCGGACTCCCTCCCCATAATGGATGGGTAGGATCTACACGTGGCAAGTTAGTGTGGACGTTTGAAACGAACCGTTGCAACGACCAAGATCATTGACCATATTTTGAGTTATGATAAGAGTTCAAGACATTCTGATGCATGGATAAGCATGAGAGGCTGAAAGTAGGTCGGTCTACTCTGATGTATGTGCCTGTTATCGATCCAGCCGCCGCACTAGAGCATTAGAGCTGGCACCAAAGTTACTACCACCGCCATTTCCCTTTGCAATTAAAGTCACAATTTGTGGACATCCAGCTAGTAAGGCACTACGGTACTTTTATCCAGGGGTCTGCAACTCTCCCAGCGAATTCCGACCACTTGCATAAACGCCAAATGCCAGATAAGGGACTTTGATCAGCCAGTCATATCCGAAGTGCTGCCCGCCAGGACCTCATGGTTGACCGTTCCCGATCTGGCCCAGAAATTGGTCGATCTTGCCTTGATTCACAGAAATGGGTGGAGTTTCTGGAGTCGGCATCGACACCCAGTCAGCTGAGGCCGGATCCACTCCCGTTCTCTTGAACCACGGTTCACTCCTGAGACAGGTCTGGACGTCTCTGGGTGTGCGACTCGCTTTCCCGACGTTCGGATGCTTGCCTAATGTAGCGAGGACTGAGTCGTTTAGCGATGGACGACTATGGTCCAGCCGGCCAAGCGCACTATTGAGGAGTAGGATATCTATAGCCTGCTTTCTCGCTCACCGTAAGCCCGGATCGATGTCTCACTCCGGTACGCCGACCGACAAGAAAATAGGCACAGTTCCCGGTGATGGCAAACCTGCCCAACCGAGTAATTCCTCCGGTGTCTAATGATGGTACAGAAGCACGCACTCCCGACAGGGAGCTGTGGAGAGATCTCTGGAGAAGAGGGTACTCTGTAGATACAAAGGAAAACTTTGGGTCCGGAGAATAAGTGGGCTCCGCAAAATGATATACGGCACACGGTAAATGTCTGAACTCATTATATGGCACTAAATAGCAGGACAAGTTGGCGTAACTCGTGAATATGCGTTTGGCTGTCTAGAGTGAGACAGATAGTAGTATAGATAATATAGAAACAAACAAAGGAAAAATGTCCGCTAGGAGCGGCTAGTCCGGTCACTACCCCAGCGGCTGCCCTTTTGGTTGGACACCACCGAAATCTCAACTTGCTTCTTAATTCCGCGCCCGGACTCCACCATCGACCCCGAATGGTAGCTATCCTTAAGAATCTGCTCGATACTGTCGCAGTCATCGCGGTTGTCCGTACTGGGCTGTTCTTGCGCATGAGACTGGAAGGTGCCGTTCTTCGCGGTTCCTTTCTGGCCTGAGAGCGGACCACTGAGTTCGTAGGAGCGAGAACGCGCCGCACTTGAAAGCTTTCTCACAGACGAGATAAGTAGAGGTCGGATGCAGGGCACGGAGGAGGTGATGATAATAATCAGATTCTCTGAAAACCCCCAGCGAATCAGCTCGACCGCACCGCCGGCACCGAGGTTGGTGATGCTGGGGACTTCCTTGAGTTTGGTGGTCTTGATGATCGAGGCGACCATAGCACTAATTCCATGTAAGCTGACAGGCCAATAAGTGGAGCCGTTGATATACTGACACTATTCCGAGACTAAGCAGGATAATCAAACTGATTTTGATCCGCAGCTTCAAGTTTAGGTTCCAGAAAATAATCGTGGGGAACACCGCGAGGAAGAGATCAGTAGCAGAGTTGACGGCTAGATACACCTGACGTTAGCCATACATCCCAGTTGAGACGGCCAGTGGATGGCAAGGACCTACTTGACGAAAAGTAAGAAAAGTTGACCACCGCGACACTACTACCACATGTTGTCTTCACGGTCGGATCCCAAAGAACCCGAGCGTTGCGGCAGATGGAAAGTGGCAGCACCGCAGAAACGATGTTGGCGCTGAGCTGCAGCAACATGACAATCCATAATGCGACACAATACTTCTTCTTTCCACCGAGGATAGCCAACAGGTAGAGGACAAATGATGAGCGGGCGATGCCGGTGCTGAGGGTGACAAGGAGTACCTCGAAGGAGATGTATTTCAGCACCTTCGAGGTGTAATGGAACGGGAGTTTGGTGAGATTCGTGCCGAAGCCATTTTGGACAGAAAGCGTCAGGATGACCGTGGATGCGAGTGTCAGTGCCTGAAACACAGATGGTCAGACATGCGACAAAAGGGCCCATGGTTAGTGCGGGGAGAGGGAAGGGCGATTAGTTACCCAGGCTATGATCATCAACACATCGTCAATGCGAAAGTTGCGAATCTTGATCTTCGCAATGATTCGAAGAATGAGAATAAAGGTTGCTACTGCAACTGCAGCCCACATGCCCCTTTCCAGGGCCAGTCCGGAAGGGTTGGTTATGTTGGAACCCATCACGAAGGGCAAAGGTCCGCGACGATAGAGGTCATTCTTTGGCAGAACAGATGCGACCACTCAAGTATATTTATTTTATCGTGAAACTAACTTGGCTTCCCACAAGATTTTGGCACCAGGGGAATTATACTTTCTGAGTCGCCTTAGTCCTGATGACTGCCGACTGGACAGGTTCGTGCATGGCTGGGATATTGGATCCACGGTGCAGATAACATAATATTAGGGAGATTTGGTCCATCCATCCAATTCCTGGGTGCTCCGGCTACCCGACGGACAAATCTCGCGAAAGACAGTGGAGACTATTGTCCCAGTTGGCCAGGGCAATTGGACAAAGCTTTCCCCAATAGGCAGACGTCGCCGGGGAAAAGAGTCCCAGACTCTGAATAATCCAACCCTACTACTGGAATCCTGGTGGCGCTTAGTGTGCAGCAGTGGATGCATTCGCCACGAGGTGAACAGGGGTCGGCTTCATCCTTGTTCATTTCTAGAATGCAACCAGGATTCTCACTTGCCGGTACTCCAATTTATTGGGATTCCTGCAGCCGGCACTGAAGATAATCAAATGACCGTTATGGCCTTCCCACTTTCTGCAGATCTACCCATGCCCTACGGGGGAGGATAGAGAGATGATCCCTTGCTCTAAGCTCACCATGGACAGCGACCGGTACGGGGACCCTCACGTCTGTCTGCTTGAAATAATGGTGGGTCGTTGTCAAATTTTGAGGAAAAATTTCTCAGCTTGTTCAAGCCACATTCCAGAGTTGAGAGATGCCGCAGCCAGCACACTCAGGAACAAGCCTTTGGCGTTCTTAGTCTTGGTCGCAAAGTAAAGTTACGTACACCGGCAAGGGGGAGGGAAGGGAGATTTGAATTAAAACAAAAATAGGAGCAACTGAAGAGACCAGGAATATTAGCGACAAGTTCTTTCTATCTCAGACCACGGAGGAATCCTTAGCAGGCACCGAAGCAAGCCGAAGGAGTCAGTCAGCAGCGTGTGAAGGATTCGGCACCGTCTGTTCGTGGACGAGGGCAAAGACAAATCCCCGGAACATCCGCGGTACTCATTTTTAGACGCACCATCGGCCAGCTGCCAATAAAACGGTTAGCACAGCTCCACTCCGTCCGGTTCCAGTGCTCGCCGAAAGCCTAAATCCTGCCCTCTGGAGTTGCATGGTGCCATTCTGATCCAATACTACGCCTCATAGCCAATCTAGCGAGCGGGGCCCGAAATTACCTGGAGCAAGTGCCACTGTCCCATCGCCCAACTGGAAGCCGTTCTCCGATCGTGTGTGTGCCTGGACGATGATTCCGGCCCCTGTGTCAGCCAGATAACTCACTAAATCCATCCCAAATCCATCCACACCTCTTGCCTCGGCGGCTCGGCCAGTTCCTGGCCATCGCTCTACTCCGTAGTATCTCTTCCGCTATCCAGCGCCCGGCTAATCCGCGGTGGTAGAATTATCCACTGCTTGCTCCGCGACTTTACGCACTTGGGGAACATGTCCGATGATAGCTGAATAGCCTCCTCCTGATCTTGAGATACGGCTGCCTGTATCGATTTGCATATAAAGTACGTTTCCCTCAGCAGGGATCGTCACTTTATTCACTCAATTTAGTCACTTCCTTTCTTCCACCCTCTCCTTCCTTCATTATCTTTGCAGGATGAAGGCTTCCTGGTCCTTTGCGGCAACCGTCGCTGCTCTCGCCTCCAAGGCTGTC